CCACATGCAGAGGGTGAGACCGTGCTGTGACTGCCCACAGCCCAGGGACCACGCAGACCAACGAGGAGGGCATGGGACAGGCTCTCAGAGGGTGGCCCCCACCTGGCATACGGGAGTTAAGTGCAGTAAACCAGACAGCTGCCCGGGGCCTGTGTGATGAGGCTCCTCTCTGTGCCGCCTGCTTCGGAGAGAGGGCTGTTCCCTACCCCAGGGCACACAGAGGGCCTGGCGCAGGCAGGCAGAGACCCCTTATGGGCTGCTGCTCAGGATCATTCAGCATCAGGTACCCAGTAGGCTGGAGTTCACACCTAGACCACTGTGCCTACGCTCTAGCAGAACCATACACGTGTAGAGCTGAAAACTCAGAAACAAGAGGCAGAGTAGTATATAAAAACTGAAGGCAAAACCAGTCAAAAGAACTAGGAACTGAATTGTGGTTTAGCTGTACAGACGGGAGGTTTTTTTTGTTTTTTTTTTCCTTTTTATTGGTACTGGGGATCGAACTCATGACTGCCTGCTTGCAAGGCAGGCACTTATGCCGCTGAGCTAAATCTCCAGCCCAGATGGGAGTTTTTACAGGTGACTTAACAAATTGGCTTGTGCACCCTGGTGAGATAAATCCTAGAGACAGAAACTACAAAGACATCCTAGACAGTTTCTAGTCCTTGTATTGTTAGGCACGGTGTTGGTGTTGCTATTTTGAACACAAGTGTCATATAGTAGGTCAGAAAAGTCATTATGTTACTGTCATTAGAAAATAACGTATCCAAGGTAAAAGACACACAGATATGAAATGAAAGTAGTCAAGTAAATATACTGTAATTCTCAATTTGGAGATTTCAGTGGTAGCTTAGTGTTTGAAATGTATGAGAAAGTACCTTCTAACTGCAGTCACTAAAAAAGGCCTAAACTACACGTTGCTTTGGGGTGATTGGGGTGCAAAGTCAGTAGCCAGTAGTGCCAAGCACAGCACCTAGACCCAGGCAGATTCAGAGCCAGTTCTGGGTACCGTGGACAGGGAATTGGAGGTAGTACCTCGAGAGGAGGAGACAACAGCAAGAGTTTAGTAAAGCCAAAACAGCATGTGTGCAGAGGGTTTTAGTGCACCCCTGCTTTAAAGCCCCCCATGGAAAGGCCTCCAAGGGTGACTGACAGGGTGCCGACTCACAGCCTCAGCATCTGTTGTGCACAGACTTTCCCAGAATTCCCTCTCCAGTTATGTGTATGAGATGCAGCCCCCACGCGTGAACTTCCGGTGAGCTCCAGGGGAAGAACATTGACTAGGGCAGGCCGAGCTGTCCAGTGCACCCAAGTGTCTTGGTTTGGAATTTTCCAGACATTCCCTGGGTAGGTTCGGAGTCTTTTTTTTCCCCTGTCTGTATGTATCACCATGTGGTAAGCTGTGGTACAGGGCTGAGGGTGGCCCTGAGTGGAGGGGAGTGCCCACAGCTCCAAACTGTGCTATGGCAGGGACCCTGCCTGAGTGGCAGAGTCTTGGAGTGTGCAGAAAACGAAAGAGATGAACCTGGAGCAGTGCATTCCCCTTGAAATTGAGGAAACTATCAAGAACCCCAGCTCAAAAGACTAAACAAAAAAAGAGCTGGGCAGATAGCTCAGTGCCTGGCCCTAGATTCAGTGTTCTGTGCAAATAACAATAACAAGAAAACAAACAGAACCCACCCACGCTGAGGTTGTAGTTGAGTGCTCTGGTACATTCCTGCAGTCTCAGCCGGCAGCATTCAAGGCCACTGGGAGCTACAGACTGGCAAGACGTATTTCAAAAACCAGAGCTGTAGGGTTTTGTTAAACAGCATGGGAGCTGACTTCAGGGTCTTGTGTTGCCAATAATGGGGTAATTTTAACACTAAGGAAAAAAGAGCAGGAAATACTTAACACAGTGAGGCAAAAACCACCTTCAGCACTGTCCTGAAGACTGGTAGCTGAAAGGGGAGAAGCAAGCGTTACAAACCCTGTGTGGAGGACAGGCTTTGGGGATGGGTGGGAGGCCCTTTCTTGAGTTGAGAAGGTAAAGCAATGTGGGGCGCCTCACCCACTCCTCAGCGAAGCTGGGAAGCAGCCTGTACACCTGGCTGTGAATCACAGCAGGAGGCTTCTGCAGAGTGAGAGCCTGGAGAATAGGCTCCTGGCCAGGCTTGGGGTCGGTGTCATTCACATTGTCACTTTCACTCTCCCACGAGTTTGTACCACCGGAGTAGGAGTGTAGAGCAGATTACACACACTGTAATATTGACAGCTACACCCTTGTCCCGAGTTAACCTCATTCGTGGTATTTACTTGATGGATCAGGCTTTGAGAAACGCCGTGGCTTTGGATTGCATTGATGAAACTGACAGATACCCAAGTTGCGTGGATTGTTGGTTACTCTCCTAGTTCCCGCATGAGCTCTACAGTATGTTATCAGCAAAGCTAGTTTATGCCCAGACAGCATTATATAGAAGAAAATGGGAGTGCAGCACATGTTCCCAGGGGTCGTGCTGTTTTCCTCACCTTAGGAGCCCTCTGAGATTTGAGCCTGCATCTAGGCCTGGCTCAGTGGCAGTGACCTGTGGCACATGCACCATAGCAAGCTGTGTCTTTGAAAGCGCTGGAAGCTTCCCAGCACTGGCCTAGCGCTGAAAGTGGGTGGCAGGGCGGGTTCTTGCTTGGTAACTGCATCAGGACCTCCTTTGCTAAGCAGCACAGAGTGAGCATCCTCGGGTGCAGGGAAGGCCAAAATCATGGTGAGTGGGGGTGGTGAGGGTGTTTTTGCCCCGGAGGGTGCAGCAGTCTCTTCCTCTGGCAAAATACTCTCCTCAGTATCCAGCAGCTCAGTGTCCCCAGGCTCATTAGGTTCCTCCAGAGGCCTCCACCCCAGTTTGCGGGGTTCCACTGTGGTACAGTCAACGCCTCCATTTGATCTGCGGACAGTATCGGAGGCCGAGGGTGACCCTGTGCTGTAAGTCAGCCAGTTTGTACGCGGGCTTGGGTTTAGCTGTGGTATTTTCAGCCCAGTGGCTAAAGGAAGATGGTTGTCCTTCAGCGTCCCAGGCTGTTTCCTTGTCTGGAGCTTGGGAGCTGAATCTTTTAGCACGTTCTTTTCCTTGGTTGCTTTGTCAGAGATGCTAAGAGCAGTGAGCCGTTGTACTTCTTACTCTTCTGTGTGTAGAAGTACTGTGCACTTCTGCATCTTAGATCTGATGAGTGGTGGGTTGTGTATTTGGAGCGGTCACCACGACTCTGGGCTGCCAGGAGAGACCATGGCAGATTCAGGTCTCATCAGTTAGAGAGCCACCTCCAGAAGCCATTAAGCTGACTAGAGAACTGCGTCCTTAGAATTTTGTTTCTCTAGACTCACTCTCCGTGGCAGACTACTGGTCAGCGTTCTCTAGAGCAATGCTGTCAGGTTAGGCTCCCAGGAGAGTCCACAAGGCCGTCTACGGCTGGAGAGATGGATCCAGCGCTCCTCAGCCCAGGATGGAGGCTGAGCCCAGGCCAAGGTGGAAGGCCTGGACGCTCCCTGGGCGTCAGTGGTGGGAGGCTGCATGAAGCTTAAGGGGCAAGACCAGTGCTCAGAGGCGGTGGCAGCACGCAGCGAACCTCCTTCTCCTCTCCCTCCGTGCCACACAGCGGGGCCTGCCTCCCGAGTCGGCTGGCCTGGGTGCCATGCATGTCTGCTCAGGTGTTTGCTGGTGCAGGCAGGCCGACACACAGTGGTTAATGGCCACAGTGAGGAGGAGACTTGTGCCAGTGACCCGCAGGGGGCGCAAACGCTGTGGACTGCAAGCACGTAATAAAAAATTCTTCAGAAACATAAAAAAACTTTAATTAAAAAATGGCTTATTGACATTTGTGTGTCTTTAGTTAGTGAATTTTAATTGTTTGCGAAAGTTGGAACATTGCATTTTCCTTCTGTGGCCTGCAGGTCACTCTGGGAAGGGTACTGAAGTGACAGAGAACTTCAGTGACTGGAGGCAGCAGACAGGGAGCATGTGTAGCCCTCAGTGTAGAGCATTAGGTGGGTGGTCCTCCATGGGGAGCCGAGCCCCGGGACAGGTAAAAGGCAAGCAGCCCGCACATTGGAGGGGAATACGAGTGACCTAAGGTGTTTTGCTCAAAAACATTCTTTGAGCTCAGTCTGTTTCTTTAATGTTGAATCTCTCCCTTTTACTTTTTCAGTCATCTAATTCATGGATTAAAAGTACAGTATCTAGGGGACGTGGGGTATAGTGGGCCTAGGGAAGAAGCAGCCAGACAAACTGGGGAATACTGATGGGAATGGTCTGCAGTGGATTCCACTGCCTTTTGGAGCTGCAGTCTTGTTAGCTCTGGCTCTGCTTGTCCTCTCTGCCCATCTTTACTGCTTCCCTCCTCTCTCACTTCCCCCAGACTTTGACCCCTTATTGTCCAGGGAAGCAGAGGCGCTGAGGGTCCATCTCCTTACAAGTGCCTCAAGGTAAAAAGAGGATGATGAGACCCCGGGCTAGGATCCAGTGTTTCCAAAGGAAATGAGGAAGAAAGGTTTGGTTGTTTGATAAACTGTCATCTTTTGATAGGAGAAGAGGGCAAGAACATTAACAAGCCATTGACACTTAAGCTTCATATTATAACCAGCAGGGGCCAGGAAGACCCCCCCCCCGCCTCCTCAGTGCTGGGGATAGAGCTCAGGCTTTGCACCTGCAGGGAAAGTCCTGTGCCACAGAGGCGCATCCCCAGCCCAGCGAATCCTTGCCCTCCAGTCACCCTTGCAGTGTTACAGAATGTGAAAAAGGACAATTTTCGGTAAAGATGAGCCTGCCAACACTTGTCATGGGTCAGATCCTCTTAGTTCTTTCCCAGTAGGTGCTAGGTTTCACCCACTCTCAGATGGTCCTAGGCTCAGATGGTCCTGCGCTCATGGACAGAGGGGCCTTGGGCTGTGTGGAGTGCTGTGCCCTCTGCTGGAGGAGAGTCCCCCAGGGGCTGGGGAAGCCACAGGCCTGTGCTTGGGTGGGGCGGTTTGGGGGTGTGGCGCCATCTGCTGGCAGCTTCTCTCCCGCTCCTTGGTGTCAGTAGCAGTGCTGGTCACCGTGGGACTTTTGTGCCCTGTACTTACTCAATTGTATGGTGGGCAGGAAGAGTTGCTCGGCTCTCCCATTTTTAGTTCCTTGCCTGGTGTTCTGATGCATGGGGGCACTTGTGTGCAGAGACATTGTAAATGTCTCTTTCAGAGTAGTTGGATCAATGTGTATCGAATATAACCATTTTTGAAAAAGAAGAACTGCAGGTCTTTACGTTTTTGAAATAAAATTCTGTCCCCTCCCCTGTGTTGATTGTGAACATCTGGAACCAATTGAGATAGCAGGGCTGCGGTTGCTGCTGCTGAGGTCCAACGTGTTGGTGTGGCCGGATTGCTTTTGCTGCCCACATGGGGTCGGCTGCGGGTGTAAGGGCCCTGCTGCTGGCTCTCGGCATGTGCGCCTCAGCATAGAGAGTGTGAGGGCCTGCAGCATCGCCACATGGCCCAAGCTCAGTCTCTGTAGCAACAGTATTTTCATCGCCTAGTTTTCTTTCTTTCTTTTTAATTTTAAAGATAGTAAAATCCAATGAAACAAAATAGAACAAAGCCAATCAAAGCAAAGCAGCAAAACTGGCACAGAACTTCAGAGCACAATACTAGGAAAACATAAGTGGCTGCCGTAGTACATCTTGTGGTCTTCACAATAGTTGTCCATTCCATCAGGTATAGCAAAATCAAAACAGAATTCCCTAGTTTTCTTAAATCAACTTTTACAGCATTTGGTTTCTTTTTATTTTTATGGGCTTTTTCTTAGATGTTTACCCAAATTGGCTTTGAACCCTAGGCCCAGGCAAACCTCCTGCTTCCTCAGCTTCCTTATTAGTTGGGATTACAGGTGCACACCTCTATGGCTAGCACTGTGTGTGTGTGGTCCTGGGGACTGAATGGATGCCTTTGCACTGAGCTGCATCCCTAGCCTGTCTTGTTTGGTTTTGTCTATTTGAGACAGGGCTTCACTGTGCAGCTCAGGCTGGCCTTGAACTCATTGGCCGTGAACTCACAGCAGTCCTCCTGCTTCAGCCTCCTGAATGCTAGAATTACAGGCATATGCCACCATGCCTGGCTGTTACTTACTTTTTATTTCAAGACCAGACCTTGCTTGCTAAGTTGCTTAGGCTGGTCTCAAATTTGCAGTCCTCGTGCCTCAGCCCCACCTAGTGCTGGCATTAGAGAGGTTCTCTACCATGTCTAGCTCATGGGTTGATTTTGATCACATATTATAGTTGGTTACCTGGCACCATCCCTTCACCTTTCTGTTTGTTTGTTTATTTTTGAAACAGGGGCTTGCTGTGCATTGAGGCTGGCTTGGACTTACTATGTCTCCCACACTGGCCTTACACTTGAGGCGGTCCCCCTGCTTCAGGCTCCCAAGGCTGGGATTACAGGCATGCGGCACTACACCTGGCTCACAGAACACTTTTCTATCTTAAACAGTCTAGGATATTCAGAGATCTGATTTCCCAGTGGGCAACGGCTGGAAACCTCCTTACCATGGCAGCTCCGTGGCTGCCTAGTGAGGGTCTCCAGCCTTTCTTGCCTGTCTCGCCAGTGCTGCAGGGTACAGCTGGTCCCACTGGGTGGTATGGTGTGTTGGAATAAGCAATGTGGCACACATGGGTGGCCCTACAGGTACTCGGGCCAGACTCCTTCCCCTTCCAGCTGTTCTCAGGCTGCAGTGCTCCCAGCTACAAAAGGAGTTTTGGAAAGGAGCCCTGCAAAGCCAGGGCTACTCTCCACGTCCGCCTGTGGTGTGCAAGTGTCTCAAGTGCCATGGGTTAGATCTAGACTGCCCCCTGGAACCTCCTGTGCCCAGAGGTGGAGTTTGGGAGGTGGTCTAACGGCCCCTGAGTGCTCACTCATCAGTGGAGCCCTCCCCTGGAGGTGCAGAGCTGCCCCGCTAGGGAAAGAGGCTGAGGTCTGGAGGAGTTAGACCGTTCTCCAGCACCTGCCTCTCTGCTTCCTGCCTGCTGCGGTTGAGCCCTTTCCACCGAGGATGCTCCCACTGTGCCCTTCCGCCCTGGAGCCAGCTGAGCAAGAGTTCTTCAAAAACAGTGAGCAGAAAAAGACTTGTCCTTTATGTCGCAGTCGGCAGGTGTCCTGTTCAGCTGGGAAGTCACTGAGGCACTGAGAAAAGGGCACAGCTTCACCCTTCCTCCCTCTTTCTGAAGTGCACCCCGGACTTGCAGGTCATCCCATGGAGCATCTTCTGAGAGTTTTTGGCACTGGTGCTGTCAGCCAGCCACAGCCTTTCTCTGGGTCGATGGCCGCGGACATGGAGGGGCAGACGCAGTCCTCAGCCCGCAGCTTCGTGCTCTGGCAGCCACTTAAATAAGGGTGAGATTAAAATCTGCTGTGAGAGGTACAAGGCCATCTGTGTGCAGAGGCAAGCAGAGCTGTCACTAACCACATTCTAGAGTGTTTAGGCTGTAATTGACTCATTCCTGTACGTCTAAATTCTATTATAGATGAGTATTTCTACTGCACATCCAAGATTGCACCTGTTGCTGGGGTTGCCAGGAGAGCAGTGGATGAGGGGTTATAATGCTGGGGACTGCATAGAGGGGTTGTGTGAAGGCCCTGAGGAAGGCCTTGAGGGGGAGGCAGTGTCATGATGGCAAATGTGCACAGTGAGCCATGCGCACAGTGGAGGAGAGGGCTTGGCATAGCTTCCAGGTTGGCCAGGACCCAGGGAGGGGAGAGGACAGGGACACGGGAGAGGTGGCAGCTGGAGAGGAGCAGGGTCAGTGATGCCTGGCATGGGACAGGGGCAGAAGCGACCTGGAGAGGTGACTCATATGGATAGATGTGCGTGTTATAAAGTGTGGAGAGTGGACTGCAGCAGGGCCGGGCTGAAGTCCCAACAACCAGATGGGACCAGGTGGCTGGGTCTGGGGACAGTGCTGACCAGGAGTCTGCACTGGAAGGTGGGTAGCTGGGAGTCAAGCGGGAGAGCAGCTGGGAGGAGAGGCAGGCTCAGGTCACGGCTGAGCCCTAGGGAGATGCTCCAGGCCAGGTGTGCGGATGGCGGGGGTTCTGATTGGATAGTGGGTTCCTAGCTAGATGGAAGCAGCTTTCATGTCGGTTCATGGCCTTGGAGACTTTCCTCCCATCTTGACTCTTGCACGCGGTCCACTGCCATCCTTCCAGTGGCCAAGATCCCTGTGTGGCTGCCTCTTGCTTGTGGCTTCAAGGATGCTGCCTGGCTCTGCTTCTAGCCCCAGGGCTCCTTGCCATGTTGTGTTCTCCCATCTGCTGGTACAGCCATCCCCTGCCCCTGCTGGTCTCCTCCAGGCTTGTGGCCTTGAATGAGGCATTCACAAGTGAGGGCTGTGCCACGGATGGCCACAGGCCAGCTGGGCTAGATGGGGAGCCCTGGCCTGGTGTGCGTCAGCCCTGAGTTCCATCCCCAGCACTGGGTGCAAAGAAGGTTTTTAAAATCTAGAAACCTTTTCTGTCACCGTTTTGGGGCTGAAATCCAGCATCATGATGTGGGCAGGGCTACACTCCCTCGGGAGGCTCCAGGGGAGGGTCCTCCTCCAGCTCCTCTACCTCCCTGTGGTACCCTCCTGTCCTCCACACAATGGCAAATACTAAACCGGGATGTTTGCGGCTCAGGACCCTTCACCCATGGCCTCTGGAAGCCACTGTGCGCGGGTCCTGGGAGAGGGTGACCTGGTTCCCCTTCAGCATGTCCTACTGGGACCTGCTGCCCCAGCGCCCGGGAGTCTGCAGAGCGTCTCAGCCTCACTTCTTGTTCCCCCAGGCCACAGGCGCTGCTGCTCACCTGTCTGCTCTTGTCCGGACCTGCGGCTCTGCTCCTCCAGGTGCTCAGGCGGGAAGGCCGTGTCCCCTGACTGTGTCCTCACCGAGGCCCAGCTTACAGCCAGCATTTTCCAGGGACCAGGAGTGCACTGCTCCCCCACTGGCCAGCCCTGGCTTTGGCTGTACCAGCCAACCTCTTAGCTGGGAAGTGGGTGTCACAGGAGGAGGCCTGGGCCTCCAGTGCTCAGCAGAGGCTCCGCAGGGGCCCCTGATGCTGCTGCTGGTGGCCAGGACGCTGTCCCTTTGAGCTGAGTGCAGAAGACGCGCTGCTGCTCATTTCTTCGTGGACCGTAGCTGCTTTAGGGCCTCCTAACGTGGTCCGTGGTAAGATGGCTCTTGGCCTTGCTGTGAGTTTCTCCTGACCCTGGGACCACAGAGTCTGGGTGACACGTCCCCCGGTATTGCTGGTCTGTCACTTGGGGGTCAGCCCATGTTCTTTGCTCTGCTCCGAAACGCCTCTCTGCAGCCATGTTGTAGATGTGTGTCATGGTCCCTGGCCTAGCCTTCTGTCTTCTCAACATTATTTTGAGGTTGGACTAAACCAGTAGCCATTGTCCGTGTGTCTGAGCCACACACGTGGTGCTCCAGGAGAGCCAGCTTTTGCTCCTCGTGCACGATGCCTGCGAGCTACACCTGCTCTTGGGGTGCTGTCCCTCCGTGTCCTTGTGCCCCCAGAGCCTGCCCACACGGCTTTTCCCTCAGAGGCCACCCTGACCATGCGTGCAGCCTGGTGCCTCCCCAGGCCCCATGCTGTGCCACATCACTGTCCCCTTGGTGTCATGCCCAGTGTGTGAGATGAGTGACCTCACAGCAAGAAGGGGTGGCTCTGCCCTGAGAGATGATGCCTCAGAGTCACTGCCCAGGTGCTGTGGGGAGGGGAGGAGGGAGGCCATACGCCCCTAACCACCGCTTCTCGCTCTTATTTTCTAGACGCCGCGTGCTTCGCACTCGAGATGATCTGATGTCCTGAGCACACGCTCGCTCACCATGATGGCTACACAGACGCTGAGTATAGACAGCTATCAGGATGGGCAGCAAGTGAGCGCCTGACCTTATTCTGCATGCTAGCTGCTGCCCATGGGCCTGGCCCTGGGCAGTGGAGGGTGCTCTGTGTGCTCATCCACACGCCCTGTGAGGTTGCACCTTCAGTCTTCAGTCTGTTATGCTTTGCTATTTGTTGGTGTCCAAAGATAAGCCATAGAATTCTCCAGATTAGTTCCTTGTCACTTTAGCATCCCTCCCCTTGCATAATTGACCTTTTTTTTTTTTTTTTTTTTTTTTTTTTTGCGGTACTGGTGATCAAACTCATGACCTCATGCTTGCTAGGAGGCACTTATGCCTCTGAGCTAAATTCCCAGCTTGACCTTTTTAAAGTCAGTGTTAATTAGCATTGTGGCTTTTGAAGAAGAGCTGGATGCTTGCCTAGCTAGCATATAGAAGGCCCTGGATTAGTAGTTTAAAAGAAAGAAAATCTGTACTCCTGAGCCCCCACCCTCTTCTCTCTCTCCTCCCTCCTTCGTTGTTTTGGTGTTGGGTCCCCGGGGCTTGTTGTATGGTAGGCAAATCCTCTACCATTGAGTTCTTTCCTGCAGCAGGGTAGGGTTTGTTTGTGGTGCTAGGGGTTGGACCCAGTGCCTTTCACACTGTGCTACCTACCAGCCCTTTAAGACAGTATTTGCCAGATCGCTCAGCTGGGACTTGAACTTGCAATCCTCTTGCTCCAGCCTTCCAGAGTGCCCAAGATGATTTAGATAAGTATAGTTTCTCATGTTGATGATCACAAAACTGAGCTGAGCCAACCAAGTTTGACATGGGAGTTCTGAGGTTTCATCTCCCCAGTAATAAGTGTGTGAGGAACTGTCCTGGTAAGACATCTGGCAGAGTCTGTGTTGATGGTCCTGTCTTGGGTAGCTGTGCTGTGATGTGGGTGGCCCCTTGACTGTCCCCCACTATGGGCGGGGCTCTCCTCGGCTGCTGTGTGCTGTGTCTGCCTGTGTGGCTATTGTGTACTCTGCGACCTCAGAAATTGAGGAGGAGCTTGACTGAGGCACCCATAGTGCCGCCTGCCCTTTGTGTTCCCACGAAGGTGGGGTCCGGAAGCCCCTTGTTCCCTGCCGCCCTGTGGAGGGTTGGATGAGGTCAGGGTAGAGGCCTGCCTGATGCCTCAGTAGGACAGCTCAGGTCTCCGTCCTTTCTTGTCCACTCGTAGGCAGTTAGAAGTTTACTGCAGCAAAATTTGATTTGCTTTTTTTGGAAACTGAATTGTTCAAGGATAGAAATACATTTTACCCAAGAGACAAACACATAGCTTATTTAAAGCAGTCAAGTCATGTATCTTTAAGACTTTTCAGTAAACACAGCTGGTCTTTACTTTGTGAATGCAGTGGGCTTTCCTAATTTGTGTGTGTGTGTGTGTGTGTGTGTGTGTGTGTGTGTGTGTCTGCATGTTTGTGTGTATGCACACACCCACGCTGGAGTATCACACCAGGCTTTGTGCATGCCACATATGTACTCTACCACTGAGCTGAATCTCAGACCATGTAAAAACCTTTACAGTGTATAGCTGGGAATGATGGTGCAATACATATAATCCTAGCGCTCTAGGAGACCGAAGCAGAAAGAGCACCAAGTTTAAGCCCAGCCTGGGAAATTTAGAGGCTTAATGATACCCTGTTTTAAAAAAACGTTTCACATCGAGGAATGTGGCTCAGTGCAGAGCCCTTCAGTTCAAATCCCAGTGCTGAGGCAGGGTGGGGGCATGTAGAGTGGATAGGGGAAATTTCCACGCTGGTGCAAGTATGTAGCATATTGGATTTTCAATTATTTTTAGAAAAAGACAAAAGAGTTTGGCGTACAGTGGTATCACGATTCATGAATGCTTTTGTTCACAAACAAGTGTTTGGCAAAATTTTGTTTGCAAACTGCATCAGGTAACAAACATGACTGTGGCCTCTTTCCCACACAGACACACAATCCTGGAGCAAGGTAAGTTCACGGACCGAGATACCACTGTCTGTTACTACCCCTCTCATCATATTATTAAAGTGAGGCTCTATGGCAGGAAGACAGTAAAAGATTGTTTACGTGGTAGTGTATAGTTGTAATTTTTAAATCACAAGCATATCACAGATATTGGTCATCTCAGTTCTTAAGCAGTTTGGGAATTTGATCTTTATGTTACCTGCTTTAAATCATATTAAAGTCAAGGAGTGTTTTTTTCTTTCTTTTTTTTTTTTTTTTTGTCTTTTTTTTTGAGACGGGGTATCGCTATGCAGTTCAGGCTGGTCTTGAGCTCACTTTGTAGCTCAGGCTGGTCTCGAACTCGCAAGGATCCTCCCCCCTCAGCCTCCTGAGTGCTGAGAGCCACCACACCCAGCTAAGTCAAAGGAGTTTTATTGGTACCATGCTATACTCCGTGCATTGTTGCCAACTCATTAAGTGTCTGACCATTCACACAAAGTGTCTGATTGTGTTCCTGTTTGGGAGTAGAATATAATTTTATTGTGTTCAATAACAGAAATTTAAGGCTGGGGATTTAGCTCAGTGGCATAAGCACCTGCCTTGCAAGCGTGTGGTTATGAGTTCGATCCCTGGCACTGATAAAAAAAAATAATAACAAGTTCTCCTCCTTTTATAGATGCAAGTGGTAACAGAGTTAAAAACGGAACAAGATCCAGTCTGCTCTGAAGCGGATGCGGAAGGAGTCAGCCCTCCTCCCGTGGAGTCTCAGACCCTGATGGATTCGGACAAGCAGGCCATTTATAGGTAGCACCAGGGTGTGGGCGTGTGGGCTTGCGGAGGACCCGCGGAAGGCAAGCCTTTTTGATGCCACCCAGAGCTGGTGTGAAGGCAGGGTGGACAGTGCCGCTGTGGGGTGGTGCCACACCTGGGAGACTTCGCTGGGTGAAGCTGATGTGACTTTTGACAGCTAGAGGAGAGTGTTTTGTGATGTATATTTAGGTAATCTTGCCAAAAGGAATCTTTAGGCCCATGTGGTTCTATGTGTGTGTTTATGGTGCTGGGGGTCAGACCCAGGGCCTTGCTCATGCGAAGCAAGGGGTCTACCCCTGACTGTACGCCAGCCCAGACTCAGGTGGGTTTGGGGAGGAGTCTGCCAAATATATGAAGACGAAGAGAACAGTGAGTTTGTAGTCTCTTCCAGAAAACAAGAGGGGGATGCTCCCCAACCTCCCTGGGAACTGCCTTATTCTGACCCTAAACCAGAGGAAGGCAGTATAAAACCACATACAGACCAGTGTCCCTCCACGCTTAGGTTCATCATCAATAAAAGGCTGACAAAATCCACCAGTATGCAAAAAGAAAACCACCTAGTGAACAAGTGGAGTTTATCCTGCAATGCAAGGCTAGTTCAGCATTAAAAACCCACCAGTGCACAATATATCCTGATTCTTCTTTGTCCCCCAATCCCTTCCCCTCCCTTCAACCCTTCTTCCCCTTAAAAAAACCAAAAATCTACCAGTGAGATCCACAAGGTGATCATATCCGTTGATATAGAAAAGCAGTCAGCAAACTCCAATCTGTAACCATCTACTTACAGCTAAGAGTTGTCAAGTAAAGGCAGTATTGGGGAACTCTCTTTGAGACAGGGTGTCCACAAAACAGCATGCTACTAGCATCCTATTTAACAGTGAAAGGTGGTGTTTTTCCCAAGATTGAGGTGTCCACTTCATTGCCCCTTTCCGGCATTGTAATGGGGATTCTGGCTCAGGCGCTGTGGCAAGAATGAGGGTAAGAGGCGCATCTCTTACTCACCGGAGAGGTACAGCCCCGGGAAGGGTAAATGGGATGTGCACGGCAGCTCACACCTGTTATCCTGACCTGGATGATACAGTGAGTTCAAGGCTTCCCTGAGGTATAGAAGAGTCTGTCTCAAAACACAACTGATTGTGCATAAATAATAACTGTCTATGTAAAAAAATTCCAAAAAAACTCCCCAAAACTTCTGCAACTAAGTGATTTTAGTAAGGTTACAGGTTACAAGAGCAACAGACAAATCCTACTTCTATACCAGTAATGTACAATTAGAAACTTAAAAGGAGCTAGGTGTGGTGGTACACAGCTATAATCCAGCATTCAGGAGGCTGAGGCAGAAGGATTGCCATGAATTTGAGGCTAGCCTGGATTCTATAGTGAGTTCAAGGCAACCTGGACTGCATAGCAAGATTTTTGTCTCAAAAAGAAAAAAAAAAAAAAAAAAGAAAGAAAGAAAGAAAAAAATAAAAAGAAAAACTTGGGCAATTCTATTTATGTTTCCTATGCCTAAGAAAATTAGATATAAACCCTTTGTGCTGAAAATGATAAAATGCTGATGTAAGCAACTGAATGCCATAATAAATGACAGGCCGTTCTGTTTCTGGGTTAGAAACAGAACCGGTGTGGAGCCGGTGTGGTTAGGGTACCAGTATCCTCAAATAGGCTGTGGACTTAACTCAGTCCCAAGCCAAGTCTTAACGGGATGGTTCTGTACAAACAGGCAAGCTAATTCCAAATTATTTAGAGAACACAAAACTAGAACAGCTCGAACAGTGTTTTTTTTTGAGACAGGGTCTTACTGTGTAGCGCATGTTGACCTTGAACTCACTCTGTAGCTTAGGCTGGCCTCCAACTTGTGATGGTCATCCTGCCTCAGCATCCTGAGTGCTGAGATTACAGATGTGACCGCCACACCTGGCTAGAGTGATTTCAAAAAAGGAAAAGTTGGAGGGATGCACCTACCTTATTTTTAAAGCTTACTGTGAAGTTACAGTCCTGGAGACGTGGTGGCACCATAAGGGAGACACCTGCAGGTCAGGCACAAAGCGCGGTCTGGAAGCAGGTGCCATGGGAGTGGTGGAGGGGGAGCCAGTGCAGCCCACTCCCCGCAGGTGCTGGGATAGGGGCACGTGTCTCGTGTCCAAAACAGAAGCCAGTGGGCCTCAGTCCGGCCTTACATCTTACACATGCATTCACTCTAACTGGATTGCAGCTCTGATAACAGACTGAAAAAACTGATTCTCTCAGGAAATATCTTTCTGAGCCAGACAAAAAGTTCTTAGGACAGCAAGACCATGATTTATCAAATCAAAAGTTGAAAAATTGGACTTGATCAAAATTTAAGACTTGTGCTGTGTCAAAAATGCTGCTGAGAGAATGGAAAGACAAACTGCATGCTGGAGGGAGAGCTGGACGTCCCACGGCTGCCGAGGAACTGTGTTGTTAGAACAAGACTCCTCAGAACTGGATGGTGAGAAAACCAGCCCTGCAGTGACAGCTGACAAAGCAGTCAAACAGGCACCGCGTCCGCCCAGGAGGACCCAGGGGCGGCAAAGCGCTGAGGGAAAGGTGCGTTCAATGCTATTGCTCATCAGAGAAATGCAGATGACACTTAGGGTGAAGCCACTATCAGGGCGGCGTGAGTGAAAGGCAGGGGCATGCCATGCTGCACAGCTGGGCTGTGCCTGCTTTGCTGCCCAGGGCACAGTCAATCTGTCCCTCCTCATACTTCATGTGCCTTCTCAGGGCCCAGAGAAATGAGAACTCGGGTTCACACAAGCTCGTGTCTGAAAGTTTCATTTTGATTATGGTAAAATGCACAGAAAGCTGAGGTCTAATCCATCTTTTGGGGTGCAGGTCAGCTTGCTCAATTCATGGTCCTTCTCCAGGAGTTTCTCATCCTTGTCTAAACTCAGGCCTCCTCTCTCTTCCTCCACATTTTCCTTTTTATTTCTGTGATTTTCAGTATTCTAGATAATCTCATCTAAGCAACGCCATGTAGTGTTTATTTTTTTGTGATTGACTTCTTTCCTATCATGTGATGTCTTCAAGGCTCCCCTGTGTTGTAACAGGATCTCCTTCCTTTTAAGGTGGGGTAGCATTCCACATCCGGTATGTGCTCTGCATGTTGGCTTGTACCATTCATCAGTGGACCTTGGCTTGCTTGTATCCTTTGACTTTGCTTTCTTTCTTTCTTTTTTCTTTTCTTTTTTTTTTTTTTTTGGTAGTGGGGATTGAACTTACAACCTTGAACTTGCCAAGCAGGCACTTAGGCCGCTGAGCTAAATGCCTTACCCCCTTTTGATTTTTCTTTGGTTTTCTTTTGGTTTTTTTTTTTGGAGCAGAAATTGAACTCAGGACCTTGCGCTTGTCAGGCAGGAGTTTATGCCACTGAGCTCTATCCCTGTCTTTTGACTTTTCTTAATGCAGCTATGAGCATAGGTGTGCAAATACCTGCCCAGCTGTCCATTAATGTTCATCGATGCTTCCTTCATGACTGTCGGAAACTGGGAGTGGCCTCGGTATTTCCCAGCCGACAAACAATGGACAGTGATGTGCCACGCAGAGGATGTTATGCAGCAGTTAAAGTAAAAAGTGTGGGTTCACAGAACAGCTCGAGGGACTTCCAGCCGCAGGCACTGAGTGAAGGAAGCTGTTGTCAGCTGGCTGGAGCAGTGTGGCTTCATTTCCATGGACTTCTAATAGCACCACGCACTGGGGCAGGGGACCCCGTGGGCGATGGCCCAGGCGGAGAGCGGATTTGGGCACAGTGCAGCAGAGGGGCAGGGAGAGGAGGTCTGGGGTCTTGGAGCTGCTCTGCAACTTGATCATGGCAGTGTTTACACACTCACAGTGTGCAAGTGTGTGGGTGTGTGCCAGGACCTGGCCATTCCACTGTTGGATAGTTTATCAAATAAAAGTCTGAACCTGCACTGGTCCTGGTGTTCTGAGACCTCGGTCTCCTTTACCTTGGAACTCACCTGATTAACAGCATCGCATAAAACAGTTCCACTCAGAATTGCCACAAAAGCTGTAAAACTAGGAACAAACCTAGCGCCAAGTACACCACAACTGCATAGAGAAAATTGTAAAACTTGTAATGAGGAATGTAAGCAAAAACCAACTGGTAGACAGCTGTTCACATCCCTGCATAAGAGCACTTAGTGCCAGGGTGGTGGCACACACCTGTGATCCCAGCATTTGGGAGGCCAGGATGGGTTACACAGAGACCAGCCAGAACTACATAGTGAGAACCTGTCTGAAAAAAAGAGCAAAGGGAAGCACTTAGTGCCCTGAAGCTTCACTTCTATATAGATACAATTCTAAAGCTCATCTGGTGGAAAATGTGCAAGATAACTGATGTTGTAAACAGCACAATATAAATAAAGTCCCACAGGAAGTTCTGTGTCACTTTGCTTTGCTTTTGTGACGGTTACTGCCTTAAAAAGATGACGAGGAGGGCCAGCCCAGGAGCCCCGCCACCTTGTGGCTGGCCACCCCTCCCACCCCTGGGGTAGATAGTAGAGGACCGTGATGTGGACATGCACCATACTGCAGAGTTCAGAGAGAGGCTGGGCATGCGTGAAAATACAAACGGGGCTTTCAGTCGGTAGGCAGCAGATGCGCGCGTAAGCATCAAAGGACCCACAGACTATTGGTAAAAGATTCCCAAGTTCTTTGTTAATAAAAATCCAGCTGAAGCCAGATTTAATGGTGCACACCTGTAATCCCAGCACTTGGGAGGCTGAGGCAGGAGGACTGCCCACATTTGAGGCCAACCTAGGCTACGTAGCAAATTCAAGATCAGTTTGAACTTCATAGTGAGACGCTGTCTCTCAACACACCCCCCACCAGAAAACCCAGTGGAAGACAAATATGAAGAAAACAGGAAAATACATGTAGCCATCAACTAAGGATGCTTTCTTAAGTGAACACAAACTCAAAGAGTAACTGATAAAAACTACAAAACCCTTTATATGACAATAGATGTTACAGATAAGTCATAGACTACAGACTGGGAGCAGGTGTGTGTCACGGAAGCAAAGTGTCCGTATCCCGAGCCTGGAGCGGGCAGTGGAAGACGGCAGCCTCAAGCACCAGGGCCAGCGTGGGCAGTCCCTGAGGGAACGTTCCAGGTGGACATGTGTCTTTTCTGCCCAGCTAAAAGATGTCCTGCCACAGTAAAAAGAGGAGGCCAGGGACAGTGGTGCACACCTACAATCCCGGCTGCTCGGGAGGCGGAGGACCGGCCACAGCCTGGGCAGCCTGCGAGGTCCTCTCTCAAAGTAGATGCTTAACATTAACTGTGTGGGTTCTCTCACATGAGAAATCCAAAATGCAAACCAAAGACTGAAGTTCAGGAGAGATGGTAAGAAACATGGAGGTGAGCTCTGCGGAGACCAGGAAGGGCAAGGCAGAGGAGACGGGCCGATGTACCTGTGTGCCAGCTTCCCACGGCACTTTTAATGGCTGTGAACTGTCTTGGTCATTTTTCTTGTTGCTAAGGGAAAACCCTCAGCACCCTAAGTTAAAGGAGGAAAGGTTTACCTGGCTCGAAGTTTGTAGAGGATTCAGTCCCTAGTCTGCGGGCTTCAACAGGGTGGCCTGGTGAAGAGAGGTGGCTTGGCGGCCACCCACCTCCTTTCAGTGCCTTTGTGTCACTCCCCATCCAGGCTGCAGGCCTGTTGCGGTGCTGCCCACAGCTGGGCAGGGCTTCCACTGTCACCCTCACTCCCTGTCACATACCCTGCCACTGCAACACTCCCACCTGTGAGCACGGGAGGCTTTGGGACTGGTAGACACAAACCAAGGCAGTGTAGAGGTTTCTGGAAAGCCTGGGGGCTGTGGTCCTGAAGATCCCTAGAACTCAGAGGGGGTATGCTGAATAGCCCTTCTGTTTTCTTTCTGTTTTTGTTTTTGGTTTTTTGATTTTTGAGACAGGATCTCACTGTGTAGCCCAGGCCAGCCTTGATCCCTTACAGTCCTGCCTCAGCCTCCCAAGTGCTCAGCCTCCGGATTACAGCACCTGGTGTACCTGGCTCCATTTTCCTTCCTTACCCTTTTTTCCTTTACATTGTCAATTAAAATGAAATAAAGTCCCAACCATAGTACACACTTTTTTTCTTTTCCTTTCTCCCCTGTTCTGGGGGCTGTGCTCAGGGTTTACCGCACTGGCCACACACTGTGCCACAGAGCTGCACCCTCGGCCCCTGCAGCTCAGCACGCTCCCCGGTGTTCCACGTGTGGCTGCGAAGGGGGATGTACATCTGCACCGCTGTGAAGCAGACCTCCAGAATCTTTTCGTCTTGCAAATGTGACACTGCGCAGTGATGGCAAGTCTTTCAGAGACTGAGTGCCCAGACCGAAACCCATCGCTCAGTGCAGGGTGCCGATGCTGCAGTTAAACCTGAATGCCGAGACCCAGGCAGCCTGACTTGCATGTTGACTGAGCGCCATGTGCAGCATGCGTGCCTTCGGTCTCTGCCACTGCTCTGTACCCATTAAACCCAAGGCACCTTTCCTCTTTCACCCTTCACCCCATTGACTCTGTTCCATTTTCCTTTTGTGAATTTATTTTAGATGCCCCGTAGAAATGGCACCACATACGAGCTGGCTTCCTGTGGTACATTGCTTCACTCAGCACGATGTCCTCAGGGCTTATCCCTGCTATAGCACAGGACTCTGGTAGCCTCCAGTGTCCTCGCCTTTCCCTCCAGGCAGGGCTGCCAGGAGCTCATTGTGTCTGTGGACAGGGGTCCTCCCTGGTTGTCTGTGATTGTTCCCAACTCTGGATGACCCCAGTGACTGCCAGGTGACATGACACTAGAATTTCAGGGGTAGGCTGCCACAACACAGTTAAAGAATGCCAAGATGTCGCTTCAGCAGCACTTGCTGCTTAGTTTGTGGGGCTCAGCACAAGAGTAAAACCTGAGGTTCCCTGTTCCAGACACAAGAATTTCAGGCCAGTGCTTGCAGGACCTCCACGCAGCCGTCCTGTTAATCAAAGCAGGTCCCAGGACCTGGGGGCACGGTGTCCTCAGGAGGAGGGCACCACCAAAATATGGACAGCTGGGGGCAGGGAGGAAGGCACACTCGGGGATGGTGGGGTAACCCCAAAGGCTTTCTGCCTGACCCGTGGGCCAGAGTCCTTTCCGGGAAACAGCTTCACCCTGTGGGTAACTGGAGATCGGTACCAGACCATGCAAATGACTGTAACGGAAAATCACACAGCAGACAGCCAGTGTTGCTGAGGACGTGGGGAAGTCAGAACCCTTGGACACTGCTGACGAGAGGGAGAAGACTGCGGCCACTTTGTAAAACTGCTCCTCAGACAGAAGTGGAATTCCGTTTGGCTCCCCACCTCTCCAGTCCTGCCCACGGTCCTAAGAGAAGGAACACCAACGGGTGCCCTCAAGCACTTGCGAGTCAGCGCTCAGAGCAGAAGCAGCTATGGTAGCTGGGAGGTAGATGCAGCCCAGACGTCCACCGACTGAAAGGGAAAAGCCAATTGGCGTGTCCTCACCAGTCTCCCAGAATGGCGGACAGTGTATGGCACAGCAAGCTCCAAGCTCCGCACAGCTCCTGTCCTTCGGAGTGTCTGGACAGGTGTGGAGAGAAGGTGAGGCCAGGAGGAGTGGATAGGGATTGCTGGTGGCCACAGGCTGCTTGTCAATGATGACATTGGAACCAGTGTACAGTACCTTTAAAACCACTGACTTCACCGGGAAGAAAGGTTTGTGCTTATGTTTCATCAGTTTTTCATGCCTGTAGCTCGTAAGCTGAGCAGGTACTTTGAACGTAACAGTACGCAATGTATTAGCCATTGTTAACCTCCTTTTGTTTTGAAATTTTGTGTTATCATTTTTGTTGTTGTTTCTCTTTAAAATAAAAATGGCCTTTGTGCTGTAAGTGGTGAGATGTGCAGCTGGGGCTGGGTCCTAGAGCTCCACCGGGCTGCGTGGCACCAGAGCCCAAGCTGGAGGCAGAGAGCACAGCTCTGTTCTCCGTCCTTCCCTCTGCAGGCACCCCCTATTCCCACTGCTAGCCTTGTTGTTTGAAAAGTGCGAGCAGTCCACACAAGGCTCGGAGGGCACCACTTCCGCCAGTTTTGACGTGGACATTGAGAACTTCGTCAGGAAGCAGGAGAAGGAGGGGAAGCCCTTCTTCTGTGAAGATCCAGAGACAGACAACTTGGTAAGTAAAATCAGTGTTTCATGTGGATGTTTTGCTTTCATAATTTTAAAATCTGTTCACGGCATTTTGAACTCATATTTAGAACTCCAGACTGTAGCTCCACGGAAGGGGGGTGACCGCTGACCACCAGCTTCCTTGGTTAGGAACACTTAGCAGATGAGCAGACAGCTCCGGACTGCGCAGCCAGTGGCCAGAGATACGGCTGTGGGTGCTGTGTGGGCTCCTTTTGTCCCCGGCCCTCCCGCTCTGGGACCACTCCTTGCCCTGCCTCTGGCCACTGCAGACTCAACAGCTCTGCCTCTCCTGCCATGGAGCCAGCGGGTGATTAGCTGGACCCCCTTAAGTTAGGAGCCACATTAACCCTCCTCTTCCTTAAGCTGTGGCTGGGGTGTTGTATCCCAGCGGTGGGAAACTGACTGATTCAAGGGGAGAGCTGTGTAATTATAAAGGAACTCACTTTACAAGCCAGTTGTGCATATCTGTAATTCCAGACATCTGGGACACAGAAGCAGGGGGTTCACAAATTTGAGCCCAGCCTGGCAACTTAGCAACTTAACAGATCCCTAATTTAAAAAATAAAATAAAGAGTTGGGGACGTAGCTCAGTCTCAAGGCACTCACTGCATTGAGTCCCCGGTACTGGAGGGAAAACAGACCATAACCAGCTTTACAGTGGGTTTTAATGGGATTGCCCCCAGGCTGCCCAGTTTCTAGTTAGTTCCTTCTTTAACAAGCACATCACTTAACTTGGGCTGCATCCTAAGTGGAGGGATCGGATCCCCCTGAGGTCTGAGAGGCATCCAGGGCTGTGCCCCGGCAGTGCCAGTGGTAAGTTTCTTCTTAGCAGATGTCTAACCTGGGGCCCAGCACTTGCACCATTTCCTTCAAGACTGACTCACTGGGAGCTGGGGATTTAGCTCAGTGGCATAAGCGCCTGCCTTGCAAGCAGGCAGTCGTGAGTTCAATCCCTGGTACCGATAAAGAGGAAAAAGACAAAAATAAAAAAGACTGACTCACCTGGGCGCCCTCCTCCTGCATCCTGCGCACTCTGCAAAGGAAATGGAGTTGCCTGGGGCCCATTGACGAGTCTGCTAAAGCAGGCCCTGCCCTGTGGGAGGCACACAGCACTTGTGGCCTTTGCCAGGTGGCCACATCCTGTGCCTCCTCCTGAGGGTGTCAGGTCTCTGCCCCCTTGCAGGCCTTGCACACAGACCCAGCCTGAGCACCATGGTAAGCTGTCCTAGGGCCCATGACAAAGCCTTGCCCTAAGCAACAGAGGGTCTTTGCAAGCTGCTTTGTTCCTAGTGAACTGCCAGGTGTTTGCCTTTAAAAATGTCTTGTGGGCCAAGGGTTTAGCTCAGCGGCACAAGTGACTGCTTAGCAAGAGCAAGGTCCTGAGTTCGATCCCGTACCTAAATAAATGGCGTCTTGTGTAGCATGTTCAATCCTTTCCACCCAGTGGGCCGCTCCTGTCTCTGAAGTGAGACTAACAGTGCCTGTCCTGGTGTGAGTCAGAAGCCCTCTCTCCTGAGACTGTGTCTTGCCTTCTCCCCTCTGGCGGCTGTGTCTGGCCTGGCTCAGGGAGGGGACCTGGTATCTTTCACACCCTGCCAGGCTGCAGGGGCCCGAGTTCTGCCTGGTGCAGGGCTTGGCAGGCCCACCGCTCTGCAGCTCCTCTTGCCCGCTGGTGGGCTCTCCCTGCCCATGAGTGCCTGTGCGCCACCTCCCGAGTGGGTTCACAGGCGAGGCTGCTCTTCCGAGCTGTCCTTCACAGGCTTTGTCACTGGGATTATTGATTAGCTATCGTACAAACTGTCTCAGAACGTAGTGACTTAGTAGAAAGGTGTAAAATGTTTAGAAAATCATAAGAGAAAGTCTGGGATGTAGGGCTGGGCAGGAGGTTCTTAGACTTGGCAAGATCAGAAGAGGCCGAGCTGATAAACTGTGAACTCCAACAAAAACAAGAGCCTCTTGGGGTGGATGTGAGTCTATCCCCGCTTACAGACAAAGTGGTGGATTCGTGGAGCAGGGGTGGGAAGCTGTTGTGCGGGGCGGGCAGGCAGAGGAGAGCGGGGACAGAGCCATGCTGCCTGTGTGCGGGCACCGGGCTCATGAGTCCTCTGCACACTGGTGCAGCCCCAAGCACAGGGCACTGCTGCCAGGACCGTTGCTTGCGGTGTGATTCCTGTGTCTTCCCCTCGGCTGCCAGTGGCTGGAAACATTTCCATGTAATACCCAGAGGCCAGCTGTGTGGAAGGAAATAGTGTAGCATAGGTGCGCCGCCGCCTCCTTCCCTAAGGTCGCCGCTTTCTCTGCTCCTAGATGGTGAAGGCCATCCAGGTGTTGCGCATCCATCTTCTTGAGCTGGAGAAAGTGAATGAGCTCTGCAAGGATTTCTGCAGCCGGTACATTGCTTGTCTGAAGACGAAGATGAACAGCGAGACCCTGCTGAGCGGGGAGCCCGGAAGCCCGTACTCCCCTGTGCAGTCCCAGGTATTGCCTCGGGCCTGTACTGCATGGGCCTTGTGGCGTGGCCGGCCAGCTTTTTCAGAATTGCAGGGCTGTCCTGATGGCTGTCCTGCCTGAGGGACCCTCCAGGCCTCCGCCCCAGCCTGGTGTGGGAAGGGCTCAGACCTGAGACAGGCCAGACTGTGTGGGCCTCATGTGTGTTGTAGATGAGGCCTCTGCCTGTTTTGGGCCCCGTGACCCCGACAGGTGTCGCCGGAGGGTAGGGTGACACTGCCAGTCAGCTTTCCTTCATGAAAAAAAGTGTAGATAACACTTATGACACACAAAACAGGCACATTTTCAAAAGTTGTGTAAAATGTGTGCAAAATTTACTATCCTAACAATTTTTTTTTTGGTAGCTTTTTTTTTTGAGGCGTGGTCTCGCTATGCAGTTCAGGCTGGCCTCGGGCTCAATTTGTAGCCCAGGCTGGTCTCGAATTTGCAACCATCCTCCTGCCTCAGTCTCCCCAGTGCTGGGATTACAGGAGTGCGCCCCCATACCTGGCTTGGTAGCCATTTTTAAAGTATGTTTGAGTGGTGTTAGGTTCATTCACACAGCTGTGCTTCCAGCACCGCCATCTGTGTCCAGAGCACTTTGTCTTCCCTCCTGAAGCTCTGCCCGTTAGACTCAGATCCTCAGCCCCTCCCCCGGTGCCCGCCATCCTGCTGTTTGGCCTTCCACGGGAGACTGGGGCAGCAGCTGCCCTCTGTGCTAGGCTTATGTCCCAGCACGCAGTTCCTGGTCTCATCCATGAGGCGGGACTGTGGGTTGGCCGTCCCACCCAGCCATCCCGTTGACCTGAGCCCCGTGCCAGCATCTCCCATCCTGGTCCTGACCTCGGATCAGCTGCCACCTGGGGAGCATCTGGTGAGAACGAGTGTGCCTGTGTCCTGCCCATTCCCTAGTTTGATGTGTAACTGCCGAGCTTTGAGAGTTCTTTCCCTGGAACAAAGGATACCAAGTTTTTCGTTGGAGACATAATTTGCAGATATTTCCTTCAAGTCCATGGCTAAACTTTGTCTCATTTTCCTAGCAGGTGATTTGCGGAACACACTGTTTTAATTTTGTTAAGGCTGCTTTATCAACTCTGCCTCTTAGGAATTGGGCTTTTGCTCTCAAGTCTAAGAACCCTGCCCAGTCCTAGGTCCCAATTTTTTTTTTTTTTTTGGTACCATAGATGGAACTCACGACCTTGTGCTTGCCAAGCAGGCGCCTATGCCACTGAGCTAAATCCCTGGCTGTAGGTTTTTACATTTTTCATTTCAATCTGTGACCCATTTTGAATTATTATTTGTAGACAGTTTAAGGTTTGAGTTCATTTACCTGTAGGTAAATGTCTCTTCTAGCTCCTTTTGTTGGAAAGAGGTTCTGGTTCTATTAAATTATACTTTGTGCCCTTATCAGAAACACGCCTGGTACCTGTGCGTGAGGCTGCCTCTGCTTTCTGCCTGCCCCATTATCTGTGGGCGCGCGTGCACCCTGTGGTTCTGACAGTTGTAGCCATTTGATAAGTCTCAACACTGGGAAGATAGGTTCTTCTCAAGTCATCATTCTTTGCAAAATTGTTTGGGCCATCCAGTCCTTTCCCTTCCCATATAAATTTTAGGATAATCTTTTCTAGAAAACCTTTCTGGGATTTTGATAGGAATTGTATTAAGCCCATATATCAATATGGAAGAATTTATCCCTTCACTATGTTGAGTCTGCAGACCCATAAGTCTAGTGTGTCTTTCCGTTTGTTTGTATCTGCTAGGATTTCTTCCATCCTACTTGGTGTTTTTGTACACGAAGCCAGGCATGGTGGTACACACCTGTATTCCCAGTACTCAGGAAGCCGAGCCCATGAGTTTGAGGCCGCCCTGGGCTATGTAGGCAAGTTGAAGGCCATCCCTGCATAGGGAGATCCTGTGCAGGTGTCTGTAGGGCTGTGTCTGAGGGTTTCTGTTTTGAGTGAGTGTAAATGGGTTCTGTTTTCAGTTGTTGCCATCACAGGGTCCCTGCTGGTCTGCAGAGTCAGAGTGTACTTCTATGTGTTCCCCTTTATCGCTGACCTCACTTACAGGTTCCCCGAGAGTCTCCGGCAGGCTTCTTGGGATTTCCTAGCTGTCCAGTTATGTCATAGGCAAGCAGGGCGCTCCCTGCTGACTCAGGGCCTTTTTGCTTCCTTTACTCACTGCATTGTGTGCCTGTCATTACCTTGAAGAATGGGAGAGTAGATTCCTCACCCCTAGCACCTCCCCAGTCCTAGGGGACCCTGCTGGCCTGAGTAGCCTTGTGGTGGAGGTGTGTCCTAAAGTTCGCATCTGGTGAGGCCACTCCCCTATTGCAGTTTTCTGTGTTTTTGTGATATTGAAATTTGTCAGATGCTTTCCCTGCATCGGTTAGTAAGATGACAGGATTGCCCTTCTTTGACCAGTTAATATGGGCAATTCCATGGTTGACAGAATATTGAACAAACCTCACATTCCTGGGTTAAAGCTTCTCAGTCGTGGCACATCCTTCCGAAGTGTGAGTGCAGATATTTTGTCAAGTGTTTTGTCTGTATGTGGTGGTGGTGGTGTATGTGTGTGTTACTAGGGATTGAACCAGGGCCTTTGTGCTGAGCTACATTTCCAGCCCCCTCTTTTTTTTCTCCCCCGTCAGATCCATTTTATTTCAATGAGAAAAGGAAAAGAAAAGAGTAAAACAAAATTTGAAAACATGTCAATCAGGGGGCAACACTAGTGCATACACTGTAACACTGTCATCCCCAAATCATTCATCCAGAGCACAAGACATCTGAATTGAATTGTCCAGACAATATCAGCACAAAACTTTCTCTTCAGTAAACTCAGAGAAATCAATAGTATAACTATCTTGGCTATCTAGCTATCTAGCTATCTACACGTTTACACATGTGTATTTTATTTCACTTATGAATATGGTCTGGTTGCATCCATTTACCTATGAAAATCTGTAGTTTATCCTTCTTTTCAGCTGAGTAGTACTCCATTAGATAAAAATACCACATCTTTTTTACCCATTCCTCAGTGGATGGACATTTGGGATGTTTCCCAATTACAAAGTGTGCCATTACAAAGTGTGCTGCTGTAAACATGGGTGCACATACATCGTTCAGCTCTGCTCTTTCCGGTCGCTTCCCCGTCCCAGTCCACTTCTCTGGAGGTCCCTGGCTGCTGCCTGGTAGAGGACTCGGTGTCTGAGCCAGAGCTGAGGAGGAGAAAGGCTGCAATCAGATAGCATTCTGCCTGTCTCCCCGGGCCCCTGAGGCTGGTGGGCCGGACAGTGAGAGGGAACATAGGGCAGCCATGGTGCAGAGGACCTTCAGTACTGACGGTCGGATCGAATGCAGTGTCTGAGAAAGCTGTACCCTCGGGATTTGTTCTGAGCCTGCGGCTGCGCTCTGCTCCTTAGTGATGTCACAGTGCTACCACTTGCGGTTGGAGACCTGGCGCCCCCATTCTCTGCTAACCCCACTGTCTCTGTGTTCTGACCCTCAGCAGATTCAGAGTGCCATCACGGGCACCCTCAGCTCGCAAGGACTGGTAGTGCCAGCATCCGCCCTGCAACAGGGAAACGTCACCATGGCGACAGTGGCAGGTATGGGCAGAGGGTTCCGATGCTTTCTCTGTGAGCACTGGCAGGAGTACTCCATCTGTATTTGAACAAGTATAGAAACATAATTTTCTAAAGTTTTAATTTTTCTACATTTCCCAGTATTTTAATTAATGCCGGTTTCTAACAGTACTCGAATCCACGATCTTTTTCCCCACTAGAATGAGGTACTAGATTCCAAGGTCTTTGTTATGTCTGTTTCTTGTTCATTCTTACCAAATACATTATGCAAATTTTTTCCTATCAAAGGATATTGGAAGGGCTGGGGATTTAGCTCGATCCCTGGTACTGATAAAAATGAAAAAGCCAAAAAAAAACAAAAAAAAAACCATTTAGCAGAACCAGGAGTGACAGTGCATACTTGTTTTGTTGTTGTCTTTTTCTTTTTTATTGGTACCGGGTATCAAACTCACGACTGCCTGCTTGCAAGGCAGGTGCTTATGCTAAATCCCCAGCCCCGACGGTGCATACTTGTAATCCCAGCATTTGGGAGGCTGAGGCAGCAGGATTGCTGCAAATTCAAGGCCAACCTGAACTACATAGTGAGTTCAAGGCTAGCCTGAACTGCGCAGAAAGCCCTGTCTAAGAAAAAAATAAAAAGAAGATAAAGCAAATGGAGCAAGGCATGCAGGGAGAGGCAAAGGTTCACATTAAAAATGTCATAGTACAGCTAAAGGAAACCTCATGAAAAAAGAAAGCACGCTTGACCAAAAGGTATAGCCAGGGCCCAGGACAGCTTACTGCCGCAGCACCTGCCTGGGCAGCCTGAGGTTGTGAGTTTGATTTGCGGTACCAGAGCAAACCACAAGTATAACCAGAATAAAAATACTTGTTATTTAGTACCTTTGGCAAAATCTTTAACGTGATGATTGTGAGGTAGGTTGGGTTGGTTTGGTTTGGCTGTGTTTTTTTTGGAACCAGGGATTGAACTCATGACCTTGTGTTTGTCAAGCAGGTGCTTATGCTGCTGAGCTAAATTCTCAACCTGTTTAGTTTTTTGAGACAAGGTTTCATTATATAGCCCAGATTGGGCTCACAATTGCAATGATCTTCCTGCCTCAGCCTCCCCAGTGCTGGGATTTCAGGTGTGTACCACCATACCCACCACAATACCCATGTACTGATTGTAGGAAAAAGTAAAAACCAGAGGCCAGCAAAGAGAAGGGAATGGCCAAGTGCCCTGGAAGCCAGCTGGGCTGTAAGGCCCCTAGCCTGGCAGTCTGGTGAATCTGTGGTCATTTATAGTGACAGGTGATGGACTTGAAAAGACCTAAAAGCTAATCATTGAACTGGAGATTTATTCCTTCCACAAGTGTATCAGGAAGAATGGTTTTAAATCACTCGGACTTAAAAGTGGCTTAAGTCGTCTTCTCCCTTCCGAGGTGGCACCGTGTACCAGCCTGTCACAGTTGTCACTCCTCAAGGCCAAGTGGTCACCCAGGCATTGTCTCCCGGGACAATCAGGATCCAGAACTCACAGGTGCGTGTGTGCTCCCCGAACAGCACGGGGTGCTGCCCACTGATGCGCCCGCTGTGTGATGGTCACCTGTGCCTTGGAGCCAGCTCTGGTTCATCTGCTGTCTGTGTTTCTTCTCGCTGTCCACCTCCCTCACTGTAGAAAATGTACAAAGTCTGGGAAGTCAGAAGGACAGGAGAGGCACTCCCATGGCCTGACTGCTCCAGCTGTGGGTGCGGCCCCACCTCCACGTGCATGTTTCTGGCCCTGCTGTGGGCCTGTGGGGCGTCTGGTCCCTTCCTGGGGCACAGAGCCCAGAGAGGCTGAGGGGGTTCCAGGCTGCACCTCACCCTTCCCTTTGTCAGGAGGCGCGGCACAGGCAGCAGGAGGGAGCAGAGGAGCCCTGCTCAGGCACTCTGGGTTGTGTTGCCCGCAGCTCCTTCTGCAGTTGTAGGGGAGCGAGGAGGCGGGGTGGACCTGGGTTGCCTTCTGGTGGTGGGAATTCAGGGGCACAAGCTTTTCGCTGTGAGCTGTGTCTGCATCAGAAAGCCCAGGTTCAGGGGTCACTGCAAGGGCGGTGAGTCATTCTTCCTGTTAGGTCAGACATTTGAGGTCTGCTCGAGAACTCCAGGGGCCCAGGATGAGGGGTGTGGGTGTCTTGCTAGATATTCAGAGGCACCACCAAGCAGCCATTCAGTGGATAGGGGACCTCACTGTCCAGGCCCAGGCATGCATAGGAGAAGACGTAGCAGGACCCTGCCCAGGGGCGTGCCCCCTCCTTCCCTTTCTCAGACCAGCTCCTTTGCCTATGGGGCTCCATGTAGACTAAGTAAAAGCCAGATCTGGTGGAAGGACAGTTTCCTAGTGTGAAAGTATGCTCTTGGAAAGGAAGACCCTTGGAAGTCAAATGCCTCACTAATGTCATAGGAGTTCCCATCTTGTTAGGTGGGCTAGTTTCCCACTGGGCATACGGCTGAGTGGTGGGGTGCTTACCTAGCACACGCAGGCCCTGGAGTGGTCCAGTACCTGAGTGTTTAGAAACAAAGGTGGAAGCCAGGTGTGATGGCGCATACCTATAATCCCAGCTGCATCAGAGGAAGAGGCAGGAGGGTGCAGTTCAAGGCTAATACAGCAAGACCTTGTCTCAAAATAAAGAAGTATAAAAAAGAAAGGAGCGTGTAGCTCATTGTTAAGAGTGCTTGCGTGGCATGTGTAAGGCCCTGGATTCAACCCCCAGCACTGTTAAAAATATGCATACAGATTCTACTAACAAAATATATATTGCTGGGCAAGGTGCTGCCTGTAACCCCAGAACCCAGGAGGCTGAGGCAGGAGGATCACTGTGAGTTTGAGGCCAGCCTGGGCTGCACAGTAAGTTCAAGGCCAGCCTGAACTGCATAGTGAGTTCAAGGTCAGGCTGAACTGTATAGTGAGACCTTGCCTCAACAAACAAACAACAGACAAAAAAGATATGGACTTCAGCAGTCCACCAAACTAATAAATGTCTGGAAGCTCATGGCCACCACTCTGAGCTCCTCTTGTAACTGTAGAGGCCAAAGGTAATTTGCATTGTGCTCATGTTTTTAAATTTAGTATTAAAATATTTGTGCAAGATTTTTATTTTCCTGGTGTGTATGTTGTTGGGCAAGCTCTGTGTATATCGTACTCATGTGCACACACATGTACATGTGCGCATGTTACATGTGGATTCTGTGACAGCTGTCTGGGCCACTGTGGACTGTTCTCTTTGTGGCCAAAGTTTGGGCCCTTGTTGGAATAGTTGAGGTACCTTCCCAACAAGAGGCAGTGTGTTTTGTGACAGAAACTTCCAGTGGTTTTTTCAAGGAAGTTGGTGACAACAGCCAGGGCTTTCTCGGGAGGCCAGTCTTGGTGGCAGAAGTAGCAGCTGTGTGGATGGCAGTCGTAGATAACCCTGCAACCTTGCCACATCACTGTCCACCACCTGCTGCACAGAGCTTCCTGCCAGCCTGTTCCTGTCGCAGCACGGGGCTGGCGTGCCCTGCCTGTGTGAGGTGTGGGTGGTGGGTGTCAGTATCCTGGGAGGGGCCGGTCACTGGCATGTGCTAGCCTAGTCACACACGGCCGGAGCAGCCAGGGCTGGGCACTGTCTTCCCAGGGTTTCTTCCTTGCTATACTTAATTACTCTGCCAGTGCAAACGCATTGCAGATGTGTTTTTGGCGTGGTGCAGCAGCATGCGCCCGTCACGCTCAGGTGCTAAGGTGGAGGCAGAAGTTCAGGGCCAGCCTGCACAGCATCCAGGCCCTGTGTCCCTTTGCCACTACTGAGTGGCGCCCCCACCCGGGTTCAGTTATCACGCCAGAGACCCACAGAGCCCGGGAAGCTGGGCTTAAGTCACCAGCTGTGTGTACTTGATGATCCCATTGGGCGCCTGTGCCGACACGTGGGGCTGTACCATGCTTCCCAGCAGGGTCGGTCAGCCACGCACCGCCAGAAACCCAGAGCTGCCTGGCAGTGAGACATCCAGGTTATGGCCCTGTCATGGACATGTTGAGCCATTCATTGTCCCACTGTCACAAAAAACATGTCTGAAAAGTTACCCAGCGTAAGGCACAGGCTGGCCTCGAACCAGTCTGTTCCAGTCTCCCACTGACTGGGGTCATAGGTATGCACTGCCGCATGTCCTGGGGGTTTCTGGAGGCTTTGTTATGAGGTACAGCGGAGTGACTCTCTGATCACTGTTGATCAGTACACCCTCTCTCCCCTCCTTTTCCCTTGGAGGTTGGAACTCACAGTCCCAGTCCTCTAATCCTGCTGGGTCTTTCCTGCCACTGGTCCGGTTGAACGTCCAAAAGAGCCTCACTCAGCACTGCCAGGCAGTGGGGATGGAGACTGGCAAGTGTTTCACAGCGTCACTCAGGCCCTCCAAAGCTTGGTGGGTCCGCAGAGGTCCCACCTCCAGTGCGTCCACCTGTACTGGGCACTGGCTGTTCCTCAGGAGCAACTTGGTCACGCTGTGCATCTGCAGCTGCAGGCCACAGTGACATCGTGAGTTCCTGTCTAACCGTGCTTTCCCCTGTGCAAAAGCTCCAGCTGCAGCTAAACCAGGACCTCAGCCTCCTGCACCAGGATGACGGCTCGTCCAAGAACAAGCGGGGCGTGCTGCCCAAGCATGCCACCAACGTCATGCGCTCCTGGCTCTTCCAGCACATAGGGGTAAGCTACTAGGGGATGCCCAGGCACTCTCTGAGATGCCTCTTCCCTGGCTGAGGCAGCATGGAAAAGTCCCTTGCATACGAGAGAGGCCTGGTTTCCAGTCTTACTGTTTTGTTGAGTGTTCACAGTGGCTGAGCATGGGGCAGAGGGAGGGTAGCTCAGTTACTTTTCTCATTGCTATGACAAAATAGCCACACCCAAAGTTAAAGGAAGGAAAGGTTTTTAGCTCATAGCTTGTAAAAGTTTTAGTCGATGGTCAGCTTGTACCAAGGCAGGCTGGCAGGCAGAGGGGCATTGCGGAGGGGAAACGGTCCATGGCAGACGAGCTAGGGGATGCCTGCGCACCGAGCACCACACAGCAGCAGCGGCAGTAGCAGGTCTGTCTCCCTTTTGTCCCATACAGGCTCTGTGCTCTGTGATTGGTGCCGCCTTTTTTGGGGGTGGGGTACCCTTAGCATCACACCCTCAGTCCACATGCACGCCCCCAGTGCAGCCACCTTCAAGGGCTCTGGGGGGACATCTGGATGCAAGCCGGACCTGTAACAGGTTGGGTCAGGGGCTTCATGGGCCGAGGGGCTGGGGAGAGATGCATCTGGGCGGACCCTCATACTTGGCACAGTCCGAGAAGGGGGTGAAGCTAAAGGCAGAGGTGGTGTTGGGGTGTGGGTGGAGGAAGACATGAAGCTTGGCTGCCAGGTGCTAGATGTGCGTCTGTAACGGTGCTGCCCGGGCTGCGGGAGCCTCTTTGCCTGGCCCTGGACATGCACCTGGCCCCAGAGAAGGGATGCACCCCCTGCTGCAGGGGGAGTCAGCTCTCTGTGGGGTGTGGCTGGGTGCCTGGGCCTAGGGAGCCCATAGGGAGGCCATGCAGGCAAGGAGGCCGCTTGGTGCAATAGAAGTGAGGAGGTGCACGAGATGCCCGCTGCCAGGGTGTGCACTGCCTGATAGTAGCCACAGCAGCTGCCGGTGGCTGTCCGCTAGGATTCCGCTAAGGCTGTTTGTGTTTGCTGACTGGGTGCCGCTTGGCCTGTCCCTTGTCATCCTGTCCCCGTTCCCTGGTGATACGTCGTCCCTCTCATTTGCCAAACAACCCAGGGCAGCAGCGGTTGCTGTTCGGGTTTCTGGCTGCGTACTTGGGTTTCGTGCCCCATTTCTCTTCTGTGGGCTTTTTAAAGGGCAAGAACAGTGTTTATGGTCCAGCCTTGAACTCAGGGCCACATGCACACTTGTCATTGGAGTCAGGAGCGTACAGCTGCTTGGCAGGTCCCTGCCGCTGTGTGCCCTTCATTCCCGTGTTTACAACCAAGCCAGGCAAATACCCATGCTCTCAGCATGTGGACGCCACTCACTGGGCTTGGTGGGGCAAAGTAAGGGCTTTGGCACGTGTAGTCTGGAGTGTGTTTCTTCTCAGTCTGCACAGTAGTGGGCCTTGGAGCGGGTCCTGTAGACAGATATGGATCTCCTTTGGTGCTTCTGGGAATTCTGATGCTCCCTTCTGTTTTTTCTTTTCTATTATTCTTTAATTTGGAGGGGCAGTGCTGGGGACAAATCCAGGGCCTTGCATATGCTGGGCAAGTGCTGGACCACTGAGTTCTGCCCTTTGCCCTTAGTCCTGCTTGTGTCCATGCTATGTGGAAGGAGGGTAGTGTGGCAGACACACCTGCCCCTGGGCCTGGGCTCAGTTTATCCCTGCTGGCGAGGGAGTGAGTCCAGTGCCTACTGCTGTAACACATCTGCTCTCTCGGCTTCCAAGAGGAGATTTTTGACTCATAGTTTCAGGGGCTCCAGTCCATGTCCACCCATGTATCAGGCCTGTCATTGCGAGCTGTGCTGTGGCTGCTGGCTGGCGGTGGTGGGGAGCATGGTGCACATGGCTCACCTCAGGGCTGGTTGTGTGGGGGCGGAGGGCTGAGGTCCTGGTTCCCCTCGGGTACGTACGCCAAGTGACTAAGGACCACATGCCAGGCCCTGTCTCCCCTTGGCGGGGCTATGGGCACTATACCTGTAAACACAGCGGACTTGATCCTGAGGCTGCCAAGGGGACAGTGAGCATCTCGACATTGGTGTGTTCCCACAGTGCCAGAGACAGAAGCACTCTACCTGCTGTGTGCCAGCCCTGGAGCAGTGGAGAGCAGGATAGCATCTGGCTCTGGAGGTGCCAGGAGGCCTCGAGTAACACATGCTGTGCTGAGGCCTAGGCTGCCTGGAGGTGGGGTAGAGGCTCAGGGCTGCGGGCCACCTGCTGTCCTCCTGGGGTGCAGCTGCTGGGTTATGAATGAAACTCCAGGTGCGCTGACACAGACTTGGGACGCAGCCAGTGCCCCTCTGGGCTGAATGGCCTGCTGCTATTACTGTCCCCAGAGCCCCTGCTCCTCTGCTGATGAGCTTCGCTGCCCCTTGGTGTTCAGGACTGTGGGGAAACACTGCATCCTCTGGGCAGAGAGCGAAAGTTGGGTCCTGGCTCGAAGCCCTGTTGAGCAGCACCAGGATTTACCGACGCTTGTTTGTGCGCTGACTTTTCGATTGGAGCATCTTGATTCCCTCCTTAAGACTCAGCGTGTGCTCACCTCCTTTTTATTTTTAGCACCCGTACCCAACAGAGGATGAGAAAAAGCAGATTGCTGCTCAGACGAACTTGACCCTGCTCCAAGTCAACAACTGGTAAGGGGCGCTACGCTGGGGAGCTGGGCCTCACAGGCCAGGCAGACTGTTCGGACGTCTCTGCTGCTGTCTGTGGCAGGTGCCCGCGGCCCACGTGTTCCACCAGAGAGGTTTCCTGTGCCCTCGGGATGAGGACGGTTCAGTGGAACCCCCTGTGGGCCCGCACTGACAGCTCCTGTGGACGTTTGCCTCTCTTTTAGGGACCTGGTGCCACTGCAGACGTGGCCCCTCTGCCGTCTGCTCCTGGGCCTGGCCTGGGAGTGTCTGTGTTTAGCTCAGAGCATCCTCTTCCATTTCTGGGGTCACATATTTTTGGGAACATGTGGACCTGGCTGCATGTCTCCCCATGAGAGCTGACACTGTCAGGCAGGGCTGCAGCCTCACTGGGTTGTGGTCATTAGTCACATTTTCGTCATGGCTTTGGGGGCAGCAGCAGCAGCTTCCACCTAGAGTTGGCAGGGGTGGAAGGAAGCCCAAGTGCCAGCACTTGGAGGCATTGTGAGCGTGCTTTCATTTTTTAAATATGATCCTTGCACAGGGGCCCCGCTATTCTTCCCTGTGTGGCTCCGATTCGAATATACTGCTGTGCATCGAGGTCTGTTTATCTCAGCGGCGCTGAGATGCAAACTTGTCAGAGTTCCGTATCCAGAGTGAAGTCTTCCTCCTGACATTTGTAAGCGCTATATCCAGTATTTCTGTTGTGTTCATCCGTTCAGTCTGTTGCCTTTCATCTGGATGGAAGCAGGCCACCACACTATTTGGTTACTTCCTCTGAAATCTAGTACATAGCGTGCTTGCAAAAACATAGAAGTTCGCAGTATGTTGTCACTGTGGCTCTGCGCAAAGGGAGCCCTTCCTGGTCATTCTCCCCCGTCATCCTCCATGGAAGCACTGATCTGGTTGCATCAGAAGAGTATTGGTTGCCTGGGGAACAGGAGTGGCCAGAGGCCCTGGGGCTGTCCTGGGGCTGTTGTCCTGCTCAGTGCTGGGGCTTCCTCCAGCTTTGCAGTCCATGGCTCCTCCTGTCCCCAGCTTGCTGTTCTGGCAAGCTCATAGAATTATGTTACCTAGAAAACTAACAGCAGCTTTAAGTTTTTAAAATTAGTAACGTAGCTTTTTTAATCTTAAGTTTTCTAGAATCTTCTAATATTTATAGCTATTTTCACTCTCTGTGACTTGTTTTTTGAGGCAGAGTTTTGCTGTGTTCCCCAGGTCCTCCTGCCTCGGCTTCCTGAGATACAGGTGTTACAGCTGCACAGCTGGCTCTTTGCTTTTGCGTTGGTAAAGATGCTGCTTTGAAGCTGAAACACACCTGGCATTGGCTTGGCCAATTGGAGTGAGGAGGAGCTGGCAGTGAGATCAGCAGCGGCCAGTATTCTTGGCCACAGCCTGCCCACATGCACATGCTGCTGGGTGCATCCTTTACCCTAGGGAAGGGCTCTGGAGACAGCCAGCTACACACTGTTAGCCTGTGTCCTCAGATTGTGTTAGGCACTGTTCAGCTTCCATTTTCTTGTCTTTGTTTTTGAGAAAGGCATCACTGTGTTGCCCAGGCTAGCCTTGAACTCTAGGTCTTCCTGCCTCAGCCTTGAGGAGGGCTGGAATTACAGGTGTGCACCACCATGCCCACCTCATCTCAGAATTTCAGGTGCGGCCGCCTTGGAGCTGACGCCCTCCTGGTTCTGACTGTTGGCAGTGAGAGCGGTTGTGGAGGGATGAGGGCCCTGTCACTGCGGCCTTGCAGAGAAAAGGCCGAGGCTGCATGCTGGCTTTGGGGCATGGAGAACGCTGCTGCTCGGCCCACCTCCGCCTATCTCTTACAGATAGTTTGTCAGAAGCTGGCCAGGGGCTTGTTCCTCTGACAAGGAGGCGGGAATTCCCCGGGGGGGCGGGTTGGGTGCTCCAGTGCTCCTGCCTCAGGCCCGAGGCAGTGTGTGAACCTCAGCAGGTTTTGGCTGACTGGCACTTGTGTGGGACTGGTGGGGTTCCTTCCCCTGCGTCCTGGGTAGCAAGTCACCCCGCAGGAGGACCTAGAATGGTGATGGAGGGCAGCCACATGGAGGATGTGATCGTCCCTGGCCTCAGTGGTGGTAATGAAGGGAGCTGACCTTGGGATCTGGCTCCTCTCTTGTCCCACAGCCAGCGCCCAAGGATGGAGCCTGACCCAGCCCACTCTCTCCCCTGTCCAGGCCTGGCCAGTGAAGCATGTACTGCCTGCCCACTGGCTTATAATTTCTGTCACTCTTTCTGTGTATGGGTCGTGGCTAAGGAGGCAGAACAGCCCGCGTTGGCTCCGGCATCATCATTGCCTGCACACAAGTGCTGTGCTAACCGTGGATCTGGGACAGGCAGCTGACCAAGGACTGCAGTCTTCTGAGAGTAGCTCGCATTCACCACGCTCTCCCCAGAGTCCTGCATTCCCGCTGAGGGTCCCTTGGCCAGAGACCCGGCCTTGCTAGAAGATCTAGCACATCACGGCTGCCCAGCGCTGTGCCATGGGGTGCAGTCTCCCCTCTGTCTCATGTTTCCTCCTTGGAGAAAGTAGTGTCCGGCACCCAGCTCTGTGCTGGTTCCTGTTTGTGTGCTCATCTGATCCACAGATGCAAGGGAGGTCCAGGAGGGCAGAGAAGCAGTGTGGAGGGGCCATGGAAGCAGTCCCCCTTCCTCAGAGTTCATTTTAACAGCACGCCCCATGTTTCTGGAGTTAGGTGGTCACCATGTTGTCCTCCTGCGAAGGGTTTGTGGTGGTGGAGAGTGGACTTTGCCAAAGCGTGTGTTCATGAAGGGGAGTTGTAGGTCCTGCACAAGATCTTCAAAAAGGCCACCCCGGCCTCAGTTTCCCTTTGTCCACATGCAGGTTCATCAACGCTAGAAGACGGATTCTGCAGCCCATGTTGGATTCCAGCTGTTCAGAGACCCCAAAAACGAAGAAGAAGACTGCACAGAACAGGCCTGTGCAGAGGTTCTGGCCGGACTCCATTGCGTCAGGCGTGGCCCCAGCACCGCCCAGCGAGCTGACCATGTCTGAAGGTACGGGGCGGAGGGAGGCCCTCGTATGGACCACACTCAGCTGGGGCCCCAGCCCCACTTTCATCTGAACCGTGAGGGGAGCGCGGGCCAGGAGTATGGACTGTAGCTGTGCGCTGAGCAGCACAGGCCCGGGTCTCGAGGGCACCAGCACCTACGGCTTTCGGCCTTGGCACCCCTTGGCTCTGCTTTCAGCCTTGGCACAGACACTGGGAGCAACCCTTCTCACACCTTGCTCCGGGCTGGCCCCTGCCTCTCACTTGGGTTTTTCCCTTTGACACTTTCCTGCTGTTGGCGGCCACCGTTCTGAGATGTTCCATGAACCTCTTGCTGTTTCTGAGAGCTTTTCAAATCGTGAATTGGCTGGTGCGCTTTCCTTTTCATGTACCGCCTCCTCTGCTGGCCTGAATCCTGGGCTCAGGTGATCCTTCCGAGCTCTGTTTCTGGCCCCGCCCATGGCCCAGTCCTTTCCAGGTCCTCGGTGGCCCGTCCGTTAGGCAGGTGACTGCGTCACACTATCTCATTCGGATAGTTCCTGCTTCTCTCTTTCCACCCCTTCACCTTTGTTTGCTTTGCAGTGTCTGTTGTTGCCTAAATCCCAGGTGCTCTGTTTCTCATTTTACAACTGCACTTTCCATCTTTCTAGAAATCATGTTTAGCTTTTGTGTGTTCCACGAATCTGTTAAGTTTTCAATATACAGAATTCTGTGTAGTATCTGTTTTGATGTCTGTCTCTGGTAGGTCTCACATCTCTGTCTTTTTGTTTTCTCTTTTGGTCCTATAAATAACAGAAAGGTCTGTTTCCCATGCCCAGGGCAGTCAGTTCATAGAAAAAGTGTGTTTTGTCTCATGCTGCTGGAGATTCTAGCCAGGATCAGGCGCCCTGTGCTTTGGCCTCTGACAGGAATGGTGCCTCCTGGTGGGGAGCCAGTGGCTGGAGCAGGGACCCAATGTCTGCAGTCCCCACCTCTCATAGTTCTGGTCACCTTCTGTAATCCCCCCCAGGACCAAGCCTCACACGGCCATGGGCTCCTAGGGATGATTTCCCAAGCACAGCAAGTGCTGTCCTCTGCGCTCGCCCCCTCCCTAGCAGAGGAAGTGCTGTGCTGCGGGGAAGGACCCTGAGAGGAGCATCCCGGGGACACAGGCCGCCTCCCAGCCTGCACCCCTCTCCGCTAGGGGTGGCTGTCTCTTCCCTCTGTCCTGTGCACAGGGATGAAGGGGTGAATGTCCCGCTCTTGAGACGGCGCTATGGTACTGTCCCTTCTTTCTGTTATCACTTGCTAGCCCATCTTGTGGGGTGGTTGCAAGTCAGGCCCTGCCCCAGCACTACCCCGTGTTTGCGTACGGCCCAGAGTCCCTGTCAGTCTTTCCTCTAGGCCTTGCTCAGGGCGTCTGGTTGGTTTCTGGCTCTGTGGCCAGGCTGAATGGCAGGCAGACACCAAGGTTTCCCTTTTAGGCCAGTCTCCCTTGTCCTTCCCTTGGCTTCTCTGTTGTTTCTCATCGTATCCTGTACCTCTTTCTGTTTCTCCCCTGCTTTTTACCTCCTGATCTCCACTGAGCCCATCTTCAGGTGGAGACCTTACTCACTAAGTGTTCAGACCGCGTCCAGGAGCAGTGTCTCAGATCCCAGCAGAACTCTGGGACACTGTGGACGTCTGAACCGTAGGTCAAACGAGGAGGTGGTGCCTGGCTGCGTCCTCTGGAGCTCTCCTCCTCGTGCTCCCGTGACGTCCTGTGCTCTGCTGCAGGTGCCGTCGTGACCATCACCACACCTGTGAACATGAACGTGGACAGCCTGCAGTCCCTGTCCTCAGACGGGGCCACCCTGGCCGTGCAGCAGGTCATGATGGCGGGCCAGAGCGAGGACGAGTCTGTGGACAGCGTGGAGGAGGACGGGGCCGCGCTGGCGCCCGCCCACATCGGTGGGCTGGTGCTGGAGGACAGCGGCTCGCTGCAGTAGGAGCTGCCGCCTCCTCGCTTTTACAGTTTGCACAGCAAACGTTTTACAGTTTTGTTTCTAATATGTTTTATATGTAGATATAGAAAAGTGCACTTTTGTATTTCATAGTCAGCTTAAAAAGAGCGTCTTTGCTGGTGCAGCGACTTCTTTCAAATGTGTGCGTGTGTGTGGGTTTTTAAAGAAATTCTCCAAGGGTTTAACGGTAGAATTGTGATGAATGGCCCCACCTGGAGTCCCTAATTAGATTAGGAATAGTGCTGCCGTTTTCTAAACAATTATGCAGTTTTAATTGAGTTCTGTAGCTTGCAGCAGTTGTCGGAGGGCTGCTGTGTTGGTGTTGCCCATGGACAGGACAGAGCCGCACCCCAAAGCCATTGGTGGGGTGGCTGTGGCCGGCAGCAGCCTGCGTACAGTATCATCCAGAACATTGGGGACTGCAGTGTGCCTCGGTCCCTCATGGTCAGTGAGCTCGTGTCATTTGCTATATATAAAAAGAAACTCCTATTTTTACCTTGCTGGAATTATTGGATAAAAAGCTATTTTTATAAATTCGTTATGAATTGGATTATGACTATATTGAGCATAAAATTTCTAGAGAAGAAACAGTACATGCCTGCGTTTCCACTGGAGTGGTTGCCGCTGCCCAGGTCTGAGACCCTGCCCACACTGCCTCTCCCAGACGCTTGGCATTGGGTGCTGAGAGAGGCAACACCCTAGGGAGACTGAGGAGACTCCAAATCTGTGTGCATGCACACTGCTCCTGTTATGTTCACACAGGTGCACAGCTGCCTGAAGGTGTGTGCACAGCATGCCTCGGACCAGGGAAGCCAAGGGGGCTTCCGCCGTGCCCACTCTTTCTGATTTCAGTTTGACTCACTCAGTCCCTTTGCTGTGTTAGCTGGGTATCGGGATACGTCATGCAGAGAATGTTTATTATAAACTGATAATATAAAACATTCTCCACTGCACCGGCTGGGAGCTGGGGTGAATTCAGACAGCTGCACTGCCTCAAGACAGTGGCAGGTGAGAATGAAGTCACAGTGCAAGCTGACTGTGACCGTGTGGTGCAAGCAGGCCCCACCCGGGTGCTGCACACACTCCCATTTTCCTGTCGCATGTTGTCGCTGCCCAGTTCCCAGAGCCCACCCCGGGCACCAGCTCCCCTAAGATTTGGAATCATTTGCAGACATCCATTTCCTGGTGATGCACTAAAGGAGTGGGCTGGGGTTTACTTTCTGTGAGTTTAGTTTGCTTTTTGTTTACTCAGGAGCAGGTATTTTCTCAAAGGGGAAATGAGCTGCCTGCCTTGTGTGGCATGTGTTGGTGTGAGCGTGGACAGGTGACACAGTCCCCAGCTGGCAGAGGACAGTGTGGGTCGCCATGGCCACCAGCTCTGAAGGCCCCCGCGGTGCTGATTGGCATGATCAGGGTCACATTAGGGACATCAGTAGGCAGATTGATTTTTCTTAAACTGATTTCGCTCCATAAAACGTAGGAAGATGAGCCACGTAGGAAGGGGAGTCCATCCCTTGCTAAACCCTCGTCGGGAGCTTTGATGCGCAGGAAACTTCGATTACCAGCTCTTGAGAGAGAGTGACATTTTTAATCAGCCACTGCATAACTTATTTATAAATAGTTTTCAATATTTTAAGTCACGTCTGCACGAGCCTAAGAGATCATTTTATCTTTATTTAAATGCCAACTTTGTTGGACTTCTTAAAACTAAGACCTGGGGGAGCCCCAGCCACTCCGCCCAGCCACCTGCCCTTGGGCAGAGCAGAGAGGAAATGCACAGAGTGTGAGGTTCAGTGGAGGGCCCTGACTCCGCCCTGGGGTCCCTGTTCAGACTGCACCCCTGGGACGCCAGCTTCTTCTGAGTGGGGCAGGTGCCTTCTCCAGTGAGGCAGGTTCTTCAGCCCGGAAGCCCGCTCGCTGGCTTCAGAGGAGTAAGGTACATATGGTGAGAGACAGGCTCAGGGATGTGGCCCGCATTCCCATCCACTCCGTTTCTCCAGGGCAAGCCCTTGCTTCTCTGAGTCGCTGCAGGCCTGGGCTCTGTCAGTGTGCAGTGCAGAAGTACCTGCTCTCGACTACAGCCAGAGGAGGCACTGGAGTGTAGCCGGGCCCTGCTTGGCTTCAAATGGCCAGACTTGATTGGATCCCAGTGTGTCCTTGTTAAACCCCTCCCTCAGGATGGCTCCTCTCCAGTGTGTCCTGAGACCCACAGCCAGCGTCTAGTCCCTGCTGCCCAGCTCACCCAGCAGGCCCGGCCGGTGGGCTCAGCACTCCTGTTTTCACATCCAGATAGTCCGAAGAGTCGAAGTGTTTATCCAATGTGCAGGTGGCCCCACCAGGGGGGTGCCAGGGAGGGCTTTGCGGCTGGTGGAGGGCCTGCCCCTCCTGTTCGAGGAGGCAGGAGACACTCCGCTCTCTGGGACAGGCTCCTGCGAGTTGGTAGGGCTGCCGCCCGTCCTGAGAGCTCTCCCTGGCAGTTGGTGACAGAACTAACTCAGCAATCTGCCTTTTTTTAGTTACCTTTGGTCTTTGAAACTGACAATCTTTAAAATGTGAATACTGTAACGATGTTTTCTTGGATTGTTGTCTTTAAAAGGACTTTTGTGAAGCAATTGATTTATCAAAGCAAAAAAATTAAAAATAGAAACATGCCTTATGGATGTTTTATTTTGTAAAGCCCATGTCACCGAAAGCCACTGTCCATTCTGGGCAACTCGCAGCTAGCAACATGCCGTGCCCTGGTACCACGCACCTTATAACCTGGCTGGCACTGCAGGGGTGGTCAGCTCTGCCGCGTCCTGGAGACTCATGTGGCTTATCCCGGTCATCACGTTTCCAGCAGAAGAACCCAGACAGGTTTGGTTGTAGTTTTCTGCAAACCTGGTTATTTTGACAGTAATGAGAAAAAAGGTAGAGTAGATCCCTCAGTGACACGCTGGGCATTGAACTATTTGGAGGGGTTTCCGGTGCCATGCAGGTTGCCATGCACCCCAACAACTGGCCAGCATCAAGGCAGGCAAGCAGCTGCATGGAGCCTGATGGGGTGAGGCCGGGAGGCACCTGTAGACGGAGCTGCAAGCATGTGGAAGGTGTGAAGGCAGGTATGAAATAGATCCACGCAGGACCTCCGGCCAGCATCAGGCTCTGGGTCGGGAGCTTCAGTGTTAGTTTCCAACATTTGCTCCAGCAGCTCTAGAGGGACACGTGTGGGTATAAGGTCTGTCTGCCTCTTTAGTCAGACAAGTAAATGACAATGATCCCGCAGACCTGTGCAGCTCAGAACCCCTGTGCAGGTTGCTGGAGTTCCCATTCTGTGGGCCTCCGCAGATGCGGGTCCCAGAGGAGACCTTTAGTGGGATCAGACTCCTCCAGCTTCTGAGACCTGGGACCCTGCTGATGTGTGCAGGCGATAGGGCTGCGGTGTCTGGGCACATGCATGTGTGGGTCAAGACCAGGCTCGAGAGGTGCTCAGGCTGCTCCTTCCTCACTACTGGTGTCCCCAAGGCCTGGCTGCCCGACTGGACAGCTGGTGGCCGCTTGTGTGTGCAGGAGGTACAGTCTCACAGGTGACCTCATCCTTTCTTCATCTTGTTTGAATGCGCTTGAGACTCCAGGCTGCCTGTCACCAGGAATAAAGCAAGAGTTCTCGCACCCCAGCCTATCAGAGAGTCGCTAAAATAGCAGTGTTGCCTTCAACTGCCGAGACATTTTTAGAAAATGCTTTGTAGAGAAATCAGGTATAAGTTTAAGTATTGCACTGTGTGGTCATTGAGCTTTGTCCTGTGTCATGGCTGTGGCAACCGTGTGGGAACTGTGGGGAGCCTTCCTAGTGAGTGCGCCGTGTGGCGGTGGAGTCCTATTCCGGCAGAGCCCTGTCCAGGCTGAGCTGGGCTTGCCCTGCTGCAGCAGCTGGAGCAGCACTGGAGTAGGGGTTGTGGCCGGCACAGGGATGCTGCCAGGGCTCAGAGGCAGGGCCGGCAGTGCTCGGGCAGGTCAGAAGCTCATCTGTCACCCAGATGTGAGGACAGTGTGAGGACAGCACTGTGACCGAGTGTGCAGGGAGGACCTTGGGTCTTAGCATTGAGGGCCACCTTTCCTTGCTTGGCATCTAAACCAGGCAGGGACCCAGGGCTTCAGGGGTATGGACAGGTAGAGGCCTGAGGAGCAGTGCCCTGAAGGCCCTCTGGATGCTGCGCTGTGCTGGGGACACACACCCAGGGGCCATAGTGTCCAGGTGCAGACCACATGGTGGTGCTGTGTCTGGAGAAGAGAGTACAGTTGCTAAGCCCTGTCACACCCAGTGTCCATGCCCCACGCCCTAGCTGCATGTGGGCCCAGGAGCCAGCCAGAGGAGGTGCCACAGCCTGAGTGACGACAGCATTGCCACAGGGTGGGCAGCAGCATGGTGGATGCTGCCACCGATGACCCTGGCCCCAACAGACACCCTGGAGTCTGGCTGTGGGTAATGGGTGACTGTTTGCCATTGGCTGCCTCTTGATTGTCTGGGTATTTTGGGTAGATGAGCCTCTGCTCATCTAGAGGCATGGTGCTCGGCCCTCATGCCTAGGACAAGTGCTTACAGCAAGGTGTGCTCGACTGCCAGCTGTGGAGGCTCCTGTGGGAGCCCTATGGGCTGGTTTTTGGCTCAGTGTTGTCCCCTGAGCACCGTGATGTCCACTTCCTGCTCTAGCTGTGGCCAAGTCCTCTGAGTTCCCACCCCAGCACCCTGCACGCAGGGCCCCTGTGCTGTGTCTGCCCTGGCCTGACCTCAATCTGGGTGGGCCCTGTCCCTGGAACTCGGTATGTGCCCCTGCCTGCCTCGAGCCTGCACCCCACTTTGTGTTGTGTCTGTGCAAGGTCTGCACTGCCTGAGAGCCGCTGAGCCCCTTGGACACCCTGGTGTGCCCACTGTGAGAGCTTGGTAACACTGGAGCTGTCCTTTCCCCTGTGCTGTGGTAGCTGTCTCTCCCTCCCTGGGCCCCGCGTTCTCGGGGGCTGCTCAGGTTTTATGGGTCAGCTGCTTTCTCTCTCCCTCAGGCAGCATATTCTGTGGCCTTGTGCATCGTGACAGAGGTGGAGTGAGAAAAGTGGTCCTTCCAGCAGAGGTGCGCGAGGCAGAAGGTGGCAGAGAGGCTGCCTCTCCTGGGGACCCACAGGGCCAGGCATCATGGGCAAACCCACATGCCTGTGAGGACCTAGCCTGAGCCTGGGTGCACTGGCTCTGCCCTTGGGGCTGAAGGGGGGTGGAGCATCACAGCAGGGCTCCCACCTCCTGCTGAGGTTCCCAGCCCCCTACACACACACTGCTGCTGCTCTCTGGGTGAGGCTTTACCCCGGCTGAGGGCAGGTCGGTGGCTCCGAAACTGAGAGGTGAAGTAGTCGTGGGCCCCAGCATCTTGCTGGAAGGAAGCCCACGCCACATGGCAAGGGTGCCAGCAACCACCAGCCTCACGGGTGCCTCCCAGTGCCACCCAGCTGACGTGGGCAGCCCGGTTCATGGAACCCACAGGTGCTCAGTGCTCCCCAGTAGTTGGAGGCCCCTGGCCAGCAGCCGCACACCTCTGGGTGGGCTTGTCCCCATCCACAGGCCTGGGTGTGCTGGGACCCCGAGACGACACCCTGCCCACACTACTCTGGTGTTAGGCCCCTGGACGTGTGTCCATAGTACCTGGAATTGTAGCACGTGGCCCCTGTGGAACAGGCTGTGAGGCTGCAGACTGCAGGGGACCCTCTCCCCCTCTAGTTTCCTAAGGTCTGCGTCTCTCCCCTGCTGAGAGTCCTTCCTGCCAACACCCAGACACAGTTGAAGTTCCAGCACAGCAGGTGGAACTTTTTTTGCACTACAGGATCTGGTGACACCACCCAACATGATTCCTGGCAGTCGAGCACACCTTGCTGTAAGGACAGCCATCACCGTGCTAGCCCCAGAGCTGGCCTGGCCCCACCACACTGGCATGCAGTGGGGTCTCTCAGCTAGCCGGGGACAGGACAGCACCCTGCCTCTGGAATTCCCTCAGCATCAGGGGACCAGGGCTCACCTGAGTGCTTGAGCCTGCCACATACCTGCTTGGAGACATGCAGGAGGGGGCCCATGAACAGGCCCCCCAAGATCGTCACTCACAGACCAGGTGGGGTGACATCTGTTTCCACTGCATGAGCAGAGCTCACCCCACCACACTCTTGGCTTCTGTGGCTTTTAAAAAATTGTAAAATATACAGAACATAAAACTGACCCCCTGAACCGTTTTGTGTGTGTCGTGGTATGCCTTGGGGCATGGAATCCAGGCCTCACACATGCTAGGCAGGCGTGCAGCTGCTCAGCCACATGCATAGCCTCTGTGCACATGCATTTATAAAATGTCGTGTCTGTATTCATTTTGCAGTGCTTTGACCAACCGCAGGAACAGCGCTCACTGGCCAGGCCAGTCTCGCCTGATACCGCCATGCAGCCAACTGGCTGGCCCGGGCGCCCCTGGTCTCACCATGAGTGGACATCTTGGGTATGCACAGGTATTGTCCCCCACAGGAACCATACTTCCCTCCCCTTCCTCAGAACTAGAGCTGCTGCCCCACCTTCGGCAGGGCTCTGGTGTCCTGCTGTGACCTGCCCTGAGTCTTTTCCAGGACTGGCAGCCGGGCCAGCCAGAGAGATATCTATGGAAGAACTGCGTGTGACTTAGGGGTGTCCAGAAGAGGAGGCCACCAGCTTCACCCCAACCTGCCTGCTTACTGGGGTGTGGATGGGGCTGGTGCTCAGGCAGCCTCTTTGGGGCTTGAAGCAGCAGTAAGAAGATGTGGAGTAGCTAGGGAGAAAGGTCTTCAGTTTCTGCTGCCTGTCCTCCGCTGAGGTCTTTGGGGGCTTAGAGCAGAACTGTGTCATAAGGGACAGAGCCCGTGAGCTCCAGAAACCTTGCGTGAAGTCATGCCTGGCAGGCAGCTCAGCCACAAAGCCCTCTGCTGTGTGCTGCTGGCTGCCTGGGAGTCCCTCTATCTTGGGGGACAGCGCAGGGGGGTTCCACACAGGGCAATGGTCACTTACTGTGCTCACACTTGGAATTGCGATTCTGAAGAGCTTCGCCTGCCTCATCCTAAGGAGAGCAGGGACACTTGCACCACTGTCAGAAGGCCACGGACCCAGGCCACTACACACCCCTGTGTGAGAGGGCACGGACCCAGGCTGCCTTGCACCCTTGCGTGGGAGGCCACGGACCCAGGCCGCTTCGCACCACTGCATGGGGGTCCACGGTCCCAGGCTGCTTTGCAGCCCACAGAGGCCTGGGGACCCTCGCTGCAAATGGTGGTTGCCACAGAGTGGCACCACCAGGAGGGGGTGAACTGGACAAGAAATCAGGGAGCATGCAGCCCCTCTACCAGCACCCTGGTGGCTCAGGTCCTGGGCCAGCCGGCCTGACTGTGAGCATGTGGCAGAGCCCTCTCAGCTTTGTAAACTCGGGCTTTTGGGAAACCTGCTCAAGAGCTCCCGATGGACCTGTGGTCAGGCCATGGCACAGTCTAGTCAAACAGGGCTCAGGGTTCGTGGCTGGGTCTCTTGAGCCCCCTTACCAGAAGGCTGCTCTGCAGAAGCCCTCACATGCTTGGGAGGAGTCACCTCATGAAAAATCCAGGGCATGCCTGTCATCCCAGCACTTGGAAGGCTGAGACAGGAGGATCAGAGTTGGAAGCCAGCCTGAACTACATAGTGAGTTCAAGGCTAGCCTGAACTACACAGCAAGACCTGATCTCAGCCTCCAAAAAGACACTTAGACACAGGTGAATGAAGGAGACGCCTTGTAACAAAAGCAGAGATCAAGATAAACCTCACAGGTCAGGCATCACTGGACAGGCCAGCAATGCAAAGTCTCAAGCAGTTTCTCCCTCAAAGCATTGAGAGGAACCAGCCCTGCCAACTCCTGGACCTTGGCCCTCAGCCCCCAGCTCTGTGCGATGGTCTCTGGCCTGTGTGACTGACACCATGGCCCAATCAGGCTCACCAGGGGCAGCCCTGAGGCTGGCAGGGAGCCAGCAAAAAACAGGCCGCCCAGGGAACCTGCCCCCTCCCATGCTCCTGCAGCCCATTCCAGAGAAGGCTAAGGTCACGGGCTCCTGCGGTTAGAACCTGCTGCCCTGGGTCGGTACATGGCCCATTACAATCCTACTGGAAAAGATTCTTCACCCTCTAAATGCTCAAATAAAATGAATTCCCCAGGTAACAGCCCTCAGAGCCTGTTTGGGTGATGGAGGCTTTTTTGTTTTTTGGTTTGGGTTCAGCTTGGCCTTGAAATCATTATGTTGCCCAGACTGGTCTGGAACTAATGGTGATCCTCCTACCTCGGCCTCCCAAGTGCTGGGATCACAGGCTTGCACCACCACACCCAGCCTTCCAAAGCACTACTGGAAATGCAGAGTTGGAGACTCATGCCTGCCAATTTCACAACATCCGGCACAGGACTGGCACATGGGGATGAAATGAGTGCCCAGGAATGAGCCCAGGTATCTGGAGCCCGGGAGTTTTAACAGCAGGGACAGAGCCATTTGGTGGGGACAGAAGCATCGCTTCAACAAGTAGCACTGAGACAATGGCTCAGGTCTGTCTGACAGTGCCAACTCACACGTCAGCCCATGTGCAAAACTCCAGGTAGACCAGCAAGCTGAGTCCGCAAACCTGAGACAATATTTCCACACTAGAGTGAACAGAGAGAGAGAGGCTGAGAGAAAAGTGGGACAAATTCTGACTTTGCCAAAATTAATAATTTAACTTCAGAGAACAGTGTTTAAAAAGTGAAAAGCACCTATGAGTGGGAGAAAAATCCCATATCTAGTAAAGGTGTAGGGCCTAGAATACGTAAGGATTCCTTAAAACTCAACATCCTAACTGAAAGGTCTTTTCCCAAAGAATACACCAACAACTAACGAGCCTGTGAAACACCACCCAGCTTGGAGATGTGAATGGAAACCACAATGAGGACAGGCCGGTGTGGTGGCCTCCCAGCACTCGGGAGGCGGAGGCAGGAGGATCCAAGTGAGTTCACGCCAACCTGACTACAGAGTCACACCCTATCAATATCAAAAAAACAAAACAAAAACACACAAGTACAGGTACCCCAGCCCTGAACCCCACTCCTGGTACCAAGCTCAGGAACGCAAAACGGGTGTTCAGACACATAGCACTCACAGCAGCTAAAAGGCAAGAACCACACACTTTTCTACTGGGTGACCAGCGGTGGGGGGGGGGGCAAAATGTACACATCCATAACACAGATGAGTCCCATGAAGGAGAGACTGACACAAGCACCCCAAACACATCCTGGGGAGGAAAACAGCCAGACAGGCCACGGGTTGTGTAACTTCATTTATAGGAAATGCCCAGAACAGGTAAACTGAGGCACAGTGAGGTTAGCAGGGCCCAGGCTGGTGTGGTGGGCCACGTCTCAGCAGCTGAAGGCCAGGGCAGAGGGAGGACAGCAGGAAGAACAGCTCAGCTGTGTGACACTTGACAGAGGTGTGGCAGTGGTGCCTGGTATGTACTAAACACCAGCGACCCGTTCACGCTACTCTACATCCTAGGTTAACTGCATTTCACCAGGGTTACAGTCCAAATGCAAAGCTTGTCCTGGCTCACTAGCCCCTTTCTGCTATCCCTCATTCTGGAATCTTCTCAGGTAGAGGTGCTTTCTGTCCACTCTGCCCATTGCTGTGTCTGTGTCCCCTACCTGGCCAGCTGCTGTTTGTAGGGGCTGCAGCGGGCGGGGGGGGGGGTGGTTTCTAGGGATCACACACAGAAGTGCTCCACCACTGAGCTACACTCCAGCCTTTTTGTTGTTTATTCTGAGACAACGCCAGTATGTTGTCCAGGCTGCCCTGGATCCTGCAATTCTCCTGCCTCAGCCTCCTCCTCAGTCGCTGAAATTACAGCCATAGCTACCATCCCCAGCTCCAGCTCCTCTCTGCATATCCCCTTGGTGAAACATCCTAAAGGAAGTATCCTTGAAGAAAAGCCCCTTGAAACAGATGTGAGTGTGCAGATCTGTGTGGGAAGCCAAGTATTATGTTAGGACAAAGCCTGTAGGCCCCGCCCTGAGCACCCAGGGTGGCTGCTGCCCATCAGGGTGGGCGGGGCAGACCTGGCACTACAGGTCTCACTTCTGGTCCTTCTCATGGGTCGCCACGAAGTTGAGCAAGTCGATGGCGGTGACGACTCCAAACACCATCTGGCGTGCGTTGGCCTCACCATTGATGTGATCTGTGGGGACAGGAAAGAGGCTGCTGTGTGAGGGTGCCTGGACGCCGAGCGTGCTGTGTGGGGGCCCTGGGCCATCACAGGCGGAGCCCCAGACTGTCTGCCTGACGGCCCTTCCCTGAGCTGCCTGAGCAAATGAGCAAGGTGGGTGTGGGCCCAACATGTGCTGTCCTCCTCCCATGTGGAGGGGTCACAGAGCCCTGGGGGCGGGTGGCCTGGAGAGCAGAGCCATGGCCACAGCCACACGAGGGTCTCAATACTTTGGGACATGTGGGTCCCCATCAGAGACCGGCCTCCGACCACATGGTGGTCCATCTGAGCAGCAGCCTGACTGGACAACAGGCTGGCACAGTGGTGAGGAGAGGGCAGCAGGCGACAGGCACCGGCACAGCAATCCCATTCCCCGCCTGAGCGTCTTCAGTGAGTGCTCATGGCTGCCTCCATGTCCTGAATCCAATCAAAATGTGTCTCTTTCATGGTTATTTTGACTGGTAGGAGCCAGAAGTCAAAGGATTCCAGATCTGGGGACAAAGGCGGACGAGTACACAGTGTCCTGTTGTCACAAGCTGTTGGATGGCACTCAGAGGCAGCAGTCACCATATTTTTGATCACACCTCATGAAGCCGCTCAGGCAAGAGGCCCTTAGAGCCGCCTCAGCGAGTGGACAGTGGGAGAACCCCAGGGGGGCTGGGGAGCACTGTCTTCTGCTGCCATGTTTTTTTCACTGTGTACCTGATTGCCCCCTATATAAGCAGGCTGGAGGCGCAGCTGCGCCCCACCAGCGCTCAGGAGTCCTGTGTGCTTTCCTGGCCCTCGAGAGGTGTTCCAAGGGGTACACACCTGTGGGCCCCCACACCTGCCCAGAACCTGCTGCAGAACCAAGGACGGGAGAGGGTTAGACATGACACTGCCCCCACATGGCAGGCTTCAGAACCAGCCCTGGGCCCGGGGTGGACACTCATGCCCTTCTCCCCTAACCAGAATGTAAGATGACTCCCTGACATCAGGACACCCAGAGAGCGCAACAGGAGGCTCCAAGCTTGCAGGGCGGGGTGTGGGTGGGGACTTCCCTGCAGAGCAAGCCCAGCCAGGAGGGCAGCGCCACCACAGCCACCTCTCTTAGGGCATGCGGGACCCAGCTGAGGCCAGGATGCAGCTATTTCTGATTCTTCTGGGATTGTCCCTTAGTCCTCAAAACTGGTGTCACCTGGGGCCTTGGCTCCCAGAACGCCCAGGCCCAGGTCCTCCAGATAAACAGCCCCTGCCCCAGGCAACAGGTCAATGCTACCCACTCCCCACTCCCCACTCCCTGTTGCCCACTGCTGCCCGTGGCCGCCTACAGCCAGGCCCTGTCCCCAGCGAGAGCCCACACACGTGTGTCACTCACACTGGATTTGCTTGTGGACCACCAGAGCGAAGTGGTCTGTCTCTAGGATGTGCGACAGCATGCCCAGAGTGTCCGTCAGGTGGACCTGTGAGGGAAGCCACATCTGTACCTGTCCACTGCATCCCAGAGCATCAGGGGGGCTCATAGCCCTCAGGACGACCCAACGTGAGACCTGGGGGGCCCAGCACCCCACAAGGTGACACAGAACACACACTGCTATGCTGTGATCTCAGTGAAGGCAAAGGCATCTGGGGCCGGGAGTGGGTTGTGGGGGGACACGGGGCTCCCGGGGCCATCACTCATGTCCCAGGCAACACTGCAAGGACTTCCTTTCCAGGGCCCGTGCAGGGCAGCACACAGGGGCCTCTGCTGTGAAAGCCCTCCGGCATCTCAAGGGTCCTTTTGGAAATGTCCTTGGAGCTGGATACATCTCTCCCAGCACAGTCACATATAATTTGAGCATGCAAAGGACCCACAGAGACAGAAGACAGGATAGTTGCTGCCTGTAATGGAGGCAGAGGCTCCCAAGCCTTTGGGGGTGATGGGCACGTCATGAGCACGTATTTAGGTTAAAGCCATCACACTGGACCCATCTGACATGCCTAGTTACACCTCGGAAAGGAGGGAAGACTTCCAGAGACACAGTGGGCCCAGATCTGCCCAGCTCTTGCTGGTACATGCTATACCCCACAGCCTCCCTGGCCACGGGGAATAAAGGCTCCGAGGATGCCAAGGCCACTGAAGCCTGGGCGTCCACTCTGGGAAGGGACAGAGGGCCTGCATGAACTGAGACCTGGGGCGCTAGGATACTGGTCACATCTGCCACCAGGTAGAGCAGAGAGGGGGCCAGGGCAGTGGGCGGTGGGCAGAGGGCCAGAGCCAGGGCCGGGGGACTTTGGTTGATGGCTCAGCAGGAGGACAGGACCCCAGCTACACTGCCCTAGTCTCTCCAGCTGCAGGAATCAGAGGCACCGAGGGCCCTGGAGGGACTGAACGGGGAGAATGAGCGTGTGCTGGTGGTATTTTGGGGTGTGTGGATGAGGTGCAGCGGAGTCCAGTTCATTGCCAGATTTGGGAGAGACCCATTGTAACCCCTGCCTTTCCATGTCCCAGGGATGCTGGGGACAGATGCTATCTGGGCTTAGGACAGGGAACACAGACACATCGCCCTAGGGACCACGCCGGGCAGCACTGGCCTTCCCCAGATGCCCTGCTGCCCCGGACAGTCCGGAGCATGTGCTGTGGAAAGCAGGGATTAAGCATGGCAGGGTGGAGACCAATGCAGCTGCTGGTGACCAGGGTCCAGCAGAAGGGGCGAGGTGGTCCCCCTGGGGATGCCGCACTTGCAGGGAAGTGGGTACCCTGGCCCGGGAACCCTAGGGTCCTAGCAACACAGCACCATACCGGCCTGAACTGCCTGTAGAGGACTTTGCAGACCTGGTCTGCCGGCCGCACCTTCCCAGCAAGCAGGGACGACAGCATGTTGCCAAGGGTCACCATTCCCAGGATGGCCCTGTGAAGAGAGAGAGACAGGCTCAGACTCGCCCCGGGCATGGTCCCAGCCAGCTCAGGGCTCCTCCAGAATCCAGTGAGTGTGCAGGGACCCAGGCCCTGGAATAGTGAGCCTGTGGGTCCTAGGTGTCTTAGAACAGAGGTGGTGTGGATTTCCCGTGTGACATTCTCAGGGTGCCTGTCATCTGCCTCCTGGGCAGTGTCTCAGGGCCCAGAATTAACACAGTACTTCCCACGTGCTCCCACTGACCAGGGACAAGCTTCTGGGGACCTGGGGCTCAGCTGCCCTGGCACCAAAACAGAAGCTCCAGCTCCAGGCACAGCCCTCGGACAAAGCTCTGGCTGGGGTGGCAGTGGCAGGCACTGACCCAGATTCATCCACCACGGGCGCCTGGTCGAAGCCCTTCTCTCGGAGGATGGCGATGGTGTGCCCGCAGGTGATGGTGGGCAGCACAGTCAGTGGCGCTGACAGGCTCAGCTCCTGGACCCGCCGGTGCCACCACCTGTGCAAGAGGCCAGGCCAGGGCTGAGCGGGGGTGGGTGGCCCCAGGACAGTGCGGGCAGCATCCCCGCTGGCCTCTCACCAGGGCTTCTTCACAGAGAGCACCTCCTCCTTCAGGAAGCCCTTCTGCAGCATCCACTTGTCACTCAGGAACTTGGACCTGTGGGACCAGAGTGTCTCCTGCCATGGCCCGTACCCATGCTGAGGGGTGCTGTGGGCTGAGGTGGACTCCAGAGAGACCCTAAATGGAACTGTGGCCAGCGAGCATCCCGTTCCCCAGACCTGGGGCCTCCTGCTGGCCCTGCCTAGCACACACTGCAGCCAAGAGCTCAGGGGAGGTGGGCATTCCCCAGTACTGGCAGCCTGGCAGGGGCACCCAGATGTGAGTCACCTGACCTGGGAGCCCAAAGGTGAGCAACTGGCAGGACAGCTAAGGGCAGTGCAAATACAGTGGGCAGAGCGGGGGGCTTGGAGTCCCATCCCACCCTATGCCTTAGAGGCCGGGTGCAGTGTCTTCCCCGTGGCAGCACGGGAATGCAGGCATCAGCCCAGGGAGGGACTGGGGCAGCGTGTTGTCCTCTGAGTCGGGACCTCAGTGTCCAGGCACCTGGGAGGCTACCATGTTGTGATGGACATACACTGACACACCCCTCCATCGGGCCTGCAGTGGCTCTAACCGTCCCACCCCTGCTTCCTGCTGTCAGGGGAGGCTTCACGGGCATCAATCTCGGCCAGGGGTCGGGTGGGGCGATCCTGGCCCAAGGACCAGGGGTGCCTTACATGTAGTTCCGCACCGAGTCAGGGAGGATGACCACACAGCGCTGGCCCTCCTGCAGCTCCTGGGCGGCCTTCACAGCCACGGCCATGACACTGCCGGAACTGCCACCTGCCAGAGGACCTTGGGTCAGACTCGCTGTGTGTGTGCGCTAATGTGCACCCACGGATGAGCACATGTGCACACGAGCAGCATGTGCGCCCAAACCTGCTCTCTTGGGGCCTGTGGGGAACTGGCCCCGGAGGACCCATCCGTTTCCTATTCACATGGTCTCCCAGCTGCCCAGGTCATGGGACGCCACATCCCCAAGGGAACATGGAGGCCTGGAGAGCCAGAGGCTCCTGCTGGGGGCAGGGAGGCTGCTGCCAGGCAATGCGCAGGGTGTTCTGGGCCCCCAAGCATACACCCTGGCTCTGAGCTGAGCGCCAAGGACAGCCTCGGTCTGTCACTGCACAGAGCTGCACGGCAGCCCCGTGATGCTGGTGCCCCCCCAGCCAGTGCCCCAGCGACACTGAACCAGGGCACTGCCGCTGCCTCCTGGAGGCACCCATGGGGCTCAGTGCAGGGCAGTGGGGCAGATACCCACCATGAGAACATGGCCTTGAGGCTGGGGACTGTCCCTTGGAAAGAGGGACGCGGGCTTCCGAGGACCCAGAGCCCAAAGAACATCAGGTCCCTGTCCCCAGGGCAGCTCTGGGAGTTCTCAATGGGCGCTTGAGTGCAGTTTTCCTCTACTCCCATGTACCCTGATAGGCACAGTCACTCCGGGTACACTCCTGTGGTTTTCCAGGCACCCCAGAGCTAAGCCAATGTGCTGGGGACTCTCCATCCTGGCAGGACAAGGAGATGCAAGCCCGAACAGGCCTCGGGTTCCACGGAGGACTGAGCTAGTGAGGGGCCTGGACCCAGCTCAGAGTATGCTGTTCCCTCCCCGCTGCTGCCCCCACACACCACCGAGGGCCACACTCACCGCACAGCAGCCCCTCCTGCGCGATCAGCATGCGGGCGAAGGCAAAGGACTCCTCATCATTGCTCTTGAACCACTCATCCACCACCTGCACGGGACCAGCCAGCTCAGGGGACCTCTGTCCAGGTAGCCTGGGCCTCAAGCCTCCAGCCTGGGTCTCTGTGCCTGACTTGTCCACCAGCACCACTCCTCGGCCACAATCGTGCTCACCCACGGGCTGCCCCTGGCTGCCCTTTCCTCAGTCCTGTGGGCCTGTGCTCACCACATCTCTACCTCCACAGAGCTGCTGAACCACCCCCGGCACCTCAGGTCCCTGGACACAGAGGCAGATAAGGCTCACGCCCCTGCCAACCTACCGCCCGGTCCAGCACTGTGGGGATGAAGTCGTAGCCGATGCCTTCCACCTCGTAGGTCGTCTTCTCTTTGCGGTTCAGCTCCTCGGGCTCGGCGAGGATGGAGCCCTCAGGATCCACCCCAATGATCTGCAGGGTGGGTGGCTTTAGGGCTCACGATGGGGATGAATGTCACCAGGACACGTCCGGCTGTCATCGCTTGAGTGCCGGCAGTGGCCTGCCCAGGGGATGCACACGCTGTTCCTCCCTCAGAGGCAGCACAAGGTACCCAGGAGTCCAGGCCCAGAGAATGAAGACGCAGTGGCTGATCTGAAGCCACACCCAGCCGGGAACTCAAATGACCTCCCAGGACTGCTATGGGAAAAGTGCCCGCAGAGAGAGCAGGAGTCTTTGGAGACAAGGGCAGCCCTGGGCACTAACCTTTCCCTCTCCCAAGAAAAGACAGGCCTCCCCTCCTTACAGCTGCCCAAAGACCAGCCCAGGGCCTTCCCGACTCCCCAGGTCCCTGGTGGGACAGACTCAGGGTGCTAGCACCCCTGGGTGAATCTATATTTCCCAATCAGCACTGGATGCCCCCAGACCAGAGGGCAACTACCCAGCTCCAGCTCATTTGGGTCTTAGGGTCATGAGGTGCACTGCTCCCCATCAGCCAGCCCCACATCCCAACGCCCTGGGGTGTGACACACACCAGCCAGGACAGTGGTGTGACCTGGGCAGACACAGGAGGAAGAGGAGCTTCTGGCTCTCAGCAGGGGCCCCACGCCGAGGAGCCGCCGTGTCCCCTGGGCATGGCGGAAGCCGTGGTGAGAAAGTCTGCAAGTCCAACCCCGCCCCACCCCAGGCCGGGTCAGCCTCCCTAGGGCCACTTACTCTGCACTTGGGACACTTCTCCTTCAGCTTCCGGGCAATGCCCGTAATGGTGCCACCTGTGCCCACTGAAGCCACCAGCATGTCCAGCTTCCCTGTTGAGGGTGGGGAGCATTCTCAGGTGAGCCAAGCTGCACAGCCCAGCACTCTCGAAGCCCACAGGTGCAAACACACCCACGCCCAGGCAGGAAGCCAAGTTCAAAGGCAACCTCATCACAGGCTCTGGGTTCAGCTATGGGCTCAGGTCCAGTGTCGGGCAGGCAAGTCTGAGCCAAGCAGTGCCCTGCATCAGGACAGCTCGCTGCTGCCAGAGAAGCCGGCAGGCTGGGCTAACACCTGCACCAAGTACCAGGCCAACTAGATTCAAACAGGAGGCCAAGGAGCCAACCTCCTGCAAGTGCTACTCCTGCAGGACGGACAGTGGACAGGCACTGAGCGAGCCTCGGGCTGGCACAGAGACCAAGTTCACTGCAGCATCACCACCCCCAAACACCAACATAGACCTCCAAATGAGAGACCAGTATCTGCCTGGCCCTGAACCTGCAACAGCGCCTCAAGGCTGTGGGTAAACAGTCACCATTAGGTGTCTGTGTTACTAAGGCACAGACAGAGACCAAGAAGGCACTCAGGGAAGAAACTGCTGTAGAAACCCCTTCAGAGAGAAAAACATTTAAGCTGGGTTTTGAAGGGTGAAGAGTTTACACTCCCAAGTAGCCAAGGATATGTGGGCAAAGGGTTGGGAGGTACACACCATCACACTGTTGCAGGATCTCTTCAGCCGTGGTGTCATAGTGCGTCAGGGGGTTGCTGGCATTACGGTACTAAGCAGGAGAGCAAAGGGAGACACCTGCGTCACTTGCATCTCAGTAGACAAGGACGGCCTGGCAAACACTTGCTAAGCAACGGTGAGGACCTCAGCAGCCAGGGAGGAGCAGGCTGGCTACTTGGGCCACCTCTGCACGATTCTCCAGACCCGTAACTCCTGGAGCAACCACGGGTGGAAGAAGCACGGCAGAGGGCCACCCACCCGAGTCCAGGCTCAAGTACCAGCCTGCATCAACCCAAATCCCAAAGGCACCGCCCCAGAAAAACGCCCTTCTAGGGCACAAATCCAGCTCCCAGCACCTGGGCTTCACCTGGTCTAGAATGTGAGAATTGGGGATTTCATTCTTCAGCCGCCATGCCACCCCGACGTGAGACTCGGGGGAGTCGAACCTGGCGTTGGTGGGCGTCCGCACGATCTCGGCCCCCAGGGCCCGCAGCACGTCCACCTGCCCAGAAGGCGTGTCTCGGGTTTAGTAGGCCCCAGCTGCCCTCCAATCATCTGTCCCCTGCCAGACTCAGCCTCAACCCCACCCAGCTACCCTCCAATCAGCTGTCCCCTCCCCAATCATTCTCCAATCAGTTCTGTCCCCAGCCAGGCTCCGCCCCAACCCACTTTCTCCATGCTCATCTTCTCTGGCATCACGATGATGCAGCGATAGCCCTTCACAGCTGCGGCCAGCGCCAGTCCGATCCCTGCGGGCAGCACATGGAGGATGAGAAGGGTCTAGCGCTCCAAACCCTGCCTGGGACAAGGCTCGGAGTGCCGATCCTCCTGCCTGGAAGGCCCGGGAGGGACAGCCTTCCTAGCCCAGATGTCTAGGAGGAGGGACTCGCCCTCCCACCACTGCCCTGTAGGAAGCTGCCCTCTGTGTCACCAGAACAAAAGCTGTGCCCTGGGATCAGCACCCACAGCCACCCACCTGTGTTCCCAGATGTGGGCTCGATGATGGTGGCCCCAGGTTTCAGGGTCCCATCCAGCTCAGCATCCTCAATCATCCGTAGGCTGATGCGGTCCTTCACGCTCCCACCCGCATTGAAGAACTCACATTTGGCCACTGGGAATCAGAAATCACAGGGATGAAAGGACCTAGCTCTGGCTGGTTCCTGCTGATCCCATGCCCTGGCTCGGCACTTGCCAGGCCCGGGCACAGCCACCTCTCCCCAAAGCTGGGTGCCCACTGACCACAGCTATCATCTTAGAGCCCACCCATCTGCAGGCCAGGTGGCAGCTGAGCAAATGAAGAGGTTGCATGGGAGCCCCCTTTAAGCCAGGCGGGAGGTGGCCTACAGCCGGAGGGGCCCCCCACTCAGTCACCCTGGCACCACATCCTGTGTTTTCCTGCCCATGCAGAACCTAGGTGATGTGCTCTTGGCAGCTGTCAACCACTGGAACTTTCTAACACCCCCCCCCCCAACTCCAGGCACCCCCAAGACCCAGCCCAGAGGAGGAAGGAGAGTGGGAGGGGGAAGGGGAGCTTGGCGGGCAGCACTCACAGAGCTCGCACTTGAGCCCCGCATTCTTTCCAATCTTGTTGATTCTGATCAGTGGGGTGTTCCCAATGTTGCTCAGAATATCTGGCAAAATTTTTGGAGATTCTGCCCTAAAACAGAGAGGAGTCCACAACATTCAGGAAACAAAACAAACCAGTGGTGATTTAGTAAGCTCTGGTGGTCCATGTGCATTTTTTTTTTTTTAACCAGGCATCAGAGTTGGCTGTAAGAAGCAATCTGGGTGATGACATGAACCTGCACATGGGGTAAAGTGACACAGTGAACACACCTAAGTACACACATGTGCACCCTAAAAATCCAAACACAAAAGCCAGGTGTGGTGGTGCACATCTGTCATCCCAGCACTATGGGAGACTGAGGCAGGAGGACTTCGGGGAGTCTTAAACTAGTCTGGGCTACATTGTGAATTAAAGGCCAGCTTGAATGTACAGTGAGACCTTGTCTCAAAAAACAAAACAAAACATAAAAGATAAAAAAAAAAAAAAAAAAGAGAGCTGAGGATGTAGCTCCGTGCAAAGGTCCTAGGTTCAATCCCCAGCACCATGAAAACAATCCAAACACAGTAATGCTGTGATCAGTGTTGTGGTAAAATTATTTCCCAGTGAAAACATCAAAGAAATTGCAACTTTGATCAAAGAGACCCATGTTCCTCTAGAAAGTGGTTGCTGGGAATCCCAATCCTCTGGTCCCCCACAGGTCAGTGTGGGGACACCTCAAGGCTTGTCCTTTCATGGCTCAGATCCCTGGCCAGCAGCCAGAGCTCGGCCTGCTCCTTGGTGACTACACCCTCGAAGCCCTGCTGGATGGACGGTGAGGGTGCCAAGGCTCTGGCTTCATTTGAATGACGCGGCCAGAGGTACCTGTTTGCGTCTTTTGAGTGACTGGTCAGGTGCGGGTGCCTGGACTCCTTCACCAACTCGTTCAGCAAGGGCTGGGTGTTCCTATCTTGCTGGGCACCCACCTAAATGCTGAGCCTGCCTGGGTCTCTAAGGTGCTGCGGGCAACTCTGCAGCTGCCAGGTATCAACCACCCCTGGGGTCAAAACCAGAGACTCACAGGTGGGCGTGGCGATGCGGGGAGTCAGTGACAGGCCTGCCCAGGTGCCAGGTGCACCTGCTCGGGGTGTCCGGTGGGATCCACAGGCGCTCCTTGTCCCCCTCAGGCACCCCTGAGAGGTACGGGCATGCTGCAGCCCCAATCTCCACCTGGGGTGTCTCCAAAGGCATGCTGAGTCTGCAATGGAACGCGAGAGTTCAGGCAGGGGCTGAAGACTCCACTGCCTCGAGGCAGCTTGGCCTTTCCCAGGGTTAAACACAAGGCTGCCCTGCAGCCCAACAACTCAGCTCCTGGGTGCAGATCCAAAACCAGAAGTAGATATTCAGATGCCCATGCACATAGTAGGTATCATTCACCAGAGACTGAGTCAGAAGGTGGAGCAATCCATGGCCATTGATGGACCACAGATACACAAACACGCGGTCCATCTGTGTCATGGAGTATTATTCAGCCCTAAAAAGGAGAGGAATCCCGGAGCATGCTATAGCGTGAACCAAGATATCACAGAAAGAGAAGTCAATCACAGAGGGCCCCGTACTGTGGGGGTGCACTCATGTGAGTAGTTCCACATCTTTCCACACTGTTGTGTACGAGGTACGAGGACTGAAAAATTCAGAAAGAAAGCAGCATACAGGCAGCTGTGGAGCAGGCCTGTAATCCCAGCTACTCAGAGGCTCAGGCAGGAGGATAGACATTTCAAGGCCAGCCTGGGAAACCTAGGGAGATCTGTCTCTAAGTAAAATGAGAAAGGGTTGGGAACACAGCTCAGGAATAGAGCATGAGGAGCTTAGCATGTGGGAGGCCCTGGGTTTGAGTCCCAGCATCATTAAAGGCGGAGCGGGTGTTGAATAGTGTGGCTGGGAGTGAAGGTCCTGCACTGGCTAGCTCCACACCCAGGGATTAAACAACAGTGATGAAAAACACCCAGGGTGCAGCTCGGCGGGACAGAGTTGCCCAGCAGGCACGGGCCACCCACAACCAGGGAAAGGCACGTGAGCCCCAATGCGTGCAGATTTCCGTGCATCCAGGCTGGTAAGTAAACAGGGCCAGTGTACAGTCCATGTGTGTGTGTGTGTGTGTGTGTGTGTGTGTGTGTGTGTGTGAGTTCTGTGTGAAATCTTCGCTGTTTTAAGTACAAGGGGCCTTGTGACCACACCCCTAGTACAGAAAGAAAACTCTATTAACATAAGTATATATTTACCCACAGGGTTTTTTGTTAGTTTTGTTTGAGATAGTGTCCCCCACCATAGTTCAGGCTGACCTTGAACTCACTATGTAGACAAAAATTGACCTTGACCTTAACCTTGGGGGAGTTTCCTGCTTCAGCCTCCCCAGTGCTAGGATTGCGGATGTGCAGCAGCACATCCAGCTCACACAGTTAAAAAAATTTAATCCCTAAAACACAACAAAGTAGAATACATCCTGTCCTTCTCAAAGGAGGCCAACTGCTTAACGCCCTATGCACAGATAGGCCTGTGTGGGGCTCCCAGGCTGGGGTGTGACAGCCTGCTGCAGGCAATAGTGGCCCTGTGCCCCCGTTTGGCACTTGGCCTTGCCCGTGCACAATTCCCCAGGACATGAAATCAGGCAGCTTAAAAGGGATGAGAGGGATAGAGGGAGAGAGAAGAAGAGAGGGAAGAAGAGGATGAGGAGGAGGGAGGGGAGGGCAGGAGGGGAGACCCTTCCTGGGATGCCCCTCATGCCCTTCTGGGGACACTGCTCGGATGTCTTCCTCATCCCAACAGTCGGGCCAGAGCTTTTGCTATCTCTTCCTCCAACTCCACATTGAACCTGAAGATCCAGCCTCTAGCTGACCAGGAGGTGTCACGCCCAGCTGCTGACTCTCGGGCCCTCAGGGTGACGGCCTGAATGAGGTGGGAGCCCAGGCGGTTTCTCCTGGCACAGAAAGGGGCAGGAGAGCGAGGAAGGAATGGTGTGGGAAGCCAGGCCACCGAGTTAGCAACGCTGTTTGCCGACAAGATGATGCAATTCACAGGTGCGGGTGGGGGTGGGGGTGGGGTGGGGGTTGAGAGCACCGGGCAGTGGTGCTCGGGAGGCCCTGGGACTACTGAAGACCCTACTCTGGACTCGCTGTTTCTCAGAAAAATGAGCCCATTTTCAGGGGTTTGAGCCTCTCCAGAGACACCCAAGGCTGTCACATTCCCCTTCTTCAACCTCTACAAAGTCCGTGTGAACTGAAGCGCGCCCTCCGTCCGATGGCACGGGTCCCAGCACTGTCCTCACGCCCTGGAGACCCCTGTAGAGGCAGGAGGGTTCCCCCAGGAGGGGTCCACGTACTCGGCGACCTGGGTTCACCCGCGACCTCGCGCTCTGCCCGCGCCAGGCGTCCCAGGCAGGCGCCCTCTAGACGCCCCGGGAACATCACACCCGTCCCGGCGAGGCCCGGCGGCTGGGTCGCGTGAGTGCGGGTTCCTTGGGGATCTTCGCGGAGGGGGCTGGGAAGCGCGCGGGAAAGCAGGCAGTGGCCGGGTAAGGGCGCGCGACTGTCGGGGAGCCGGGGAGGTGAGGTCCCGGACGGGGCCGGGATCAGGGTCGGGGTCGGGGTTGGGGTCGGGTCAGCTGCTCCGCGCGCCCTGTAGCAAAGGACGCAACTCGGCACAGGTGGGCGTGCGCGCGGGGGCAATCGCGGATCTCGGGCGGGCAGCGGGATCCGGATCGGAGTCGGGATCCAGGTCGCGGGCGGGTCGGGGTCAGGGTCAGGGTCGTAGCTCACCAGGGCGCACAGCGAGGACGGCGGGTGGCGGTGACCCAAAGAGCTGCAGAGCGAAGACCTCGACTGGGGCTACCGCGCGGCCCAGACCACGCGGGGCGGATGCGATTGGCTGGGTGAAGGGGGCGGAGGCCCGGCAACAACCAATCCCAGGCGGAGACGCGCCCGCCCCGCCCCTAGCCACCCACCAGACCGCCCCCCGTTGCCCCGCCCCTACCCCGCCTCTTCTGGCTGCAGGAAATGGGCCGCCTCCTGACCCCTACTCACCTCGCCCCCATCTCACTCCCATCCTCCCCCAAACTCTCCCCACCCGCCCCCATCTCTCCACCCCGCCTCCTCTCGGCCTCCACCCTGCCCCCACCCTCTGTAGTTGCAAAATGGGCCCGGGCCCCGCCCCCTGGGTACCCGGGAACCCCAGTCTGGATCCCCGACTCGGATTTCGGATTTCGGCCACCTGGGCGCTCGCAGCCTCTGGGATTAAGAGCGGGAATGGTGGTGCACGTCTGCAGTACCCGCAGTCACGGGGCCGAGGCTAGAGGATCGCCTAAGTTTGAGGACAGCCGCTTTGCTAGGGACCCCGGTCCCTCGCGCTTCCTCAAATGGATGGCGGGCGTCAGCGATCTAAGGCAACCCAACGCCCCTAACTCTGAGTGCTAAACAGGAAAGAGATACCTTGTTGTACCCCACCCCATGGCTGATGGGTGACCTCAGGCCTTTGAGCCACTCCTGGAACCTAGGACGAGTGCTGGGTGACCCGAGGTGTGTATTTGTGTAAGTGCGCCTGCTGTGCGGGGTGGAGGTGGGGTCCTAATAGAACAGTCCCCATCAGTGAGCAGCGTGGGAACAGTCCCCCAGCACAGGTGACAGAGTTAGCTCTGGGAGGAAGGCCGGGTTGGCATGGGCCCAGGTCAGAGCAGTCCAGGGCCAGCAGCTGGAAGGAATCTGGAGAGCTCAGAGTTGGGGCCGTGGCCAGGGCCTGAGTGGGGAAGGATTTCCAGCCGAGGGTTTGATCTGCTTCCATGCTGGGGATGGAACCCAGCTCTCCGAGCCTGCTAGGGAGTGCGCTCCCACTGAGCCACACTCCCAGCTCCTTGAATTACTATTATTATTACTGCTATTATCTTCGGTGCTAAAAGTAGCTAGAACAGACGGAACTCCCAAGCAGGTCTTCTCAGTCCCTCAGTGTTAATGAGTTTCCTTAACCCCCATCCCCTGGGAAGGGGCTTTATTTGGAGATCGCACCCTTGAGGAGGAAATACAGGGAGACTAGTCCTGCTGGGTGGGTGGAGCTAATCCTGTGTGTGCCATTGATTGGTGGGTCGATTGATCGATCATGTTGTTGGAAGAACGGAAGGAGGAGAGGCGGGCCCAGGAGCTGCCTGCGACCTTCGGAGAGAACCTGGGCGGCCACGTGTGGAGGAAGTGGGCGGGGACAAATGCGTGTTTCAAGGTTCAGCTGTCCAAAAGTTTGGTAATCTTTTTTTCTTTTACATTACATTTTATTGATACATTTTAGATATACGTAACGATCAAATTCATCATAGAAAATCTATAGGTAATTCATTACGGCAACCCAGATTTTTACATTTTAAAAAATTGTTTATGTAATTTCAGCCGGGCATGGTGGGGTGCACCTGCAATGCCAACACTCTGGGAAAGTGAGGCAGTAGCAGTACAGTCAGAATCAGGAGCAGCACTGTGGTGGGAGTGGCCCTGACCTCTGGCCCCTGCTGCGTTGCTGCGGGCCCCTGTGGTACCCTTCCCAGGTCCTCAGGTGAGCACTGTGGTCAGGGTTCTGACTCTCACACCAGGTATTTGGGATAGTTCCTTAGTCTCTCTTTGTGTTTCATGACACTGGCAGTGTTGGAGTGTACAGGCCGGATGATATACCTTGCGGTGGGGGGTGGGGGGATTGGGGGTGTTATGGCTTAACTAACCAATGTGCCGCCTCTTGTTCTGTATGTGCCATAGGGTTAAGTTTCTAATCCTTGTAAAAATTTAAGTTTCAGCTTCTTGTAACTTTCTCCCCTTTCCACGTTAGTGCTAACGAGCTGTCCTGAGATAATTAACTTTCTTCTTTCTTCTCCACATGTTATTGCAGATGTGCTATTCCAAGATAATGTTTATCCACGGGATGGGAGTAACAAAATGCACCAAAGGCTCCAGATGTTATCAGAACTAAGTCCACGGCTTTACAATTTCCAGATGCTGTCAGGACTAAGTCAACAGCTTAACAGCTCTGCGGGTTTTTGTTTTTTTTTTTCCCTCTCTCTCTCTCTCTTGCTTTTAAAATCCCTTTCTTCAGTCTCTGCAGTGTGCAGTCTCTGGGTCAATCCTAAGGGGGCTGCGTCGCCAGGCCTGAAATAAAATCCTTTGCTCCAAATTTCTTGATTCCTTGCTTCCCTGAATTTTATTCCGGGATCCGAGCTATCTCGGGGGAGCCAAGGGACTTTACAGTGAGCTACATCCCCAGCCCTTTTTATTTAGTACTTTGAGGCAGAGTCTCCCTAAGTTGTCCAGGCTGCACTCAGGCTCACAATCCTCCTGCCTCAGCCTCCAGAGTGCTGGGATGACAGGTGTGTGCCAACATGCCTAGCAGAATGGGACTATGTATGGAGTCAGGGTTTTTAAAGAGATGTTTAAGGTAAAAGGTGATCACTGGGACCAGAGACACAGGGGAGACCCTGCCACTGTGTGGTGGATCTGATGCAGAGGTCCCAAGTTCTTGCATAGTGCAAGCAGTGGGATGCAAAGTGTACACTCCAGGTGGGGGAAGGTGACAGTGCTGATTTCCTGAACACAATGGCACCGTCCAGATGCATGAGGCTGCCAGGCTCAAGAGTAGGCAGGAATGAAAGGGCTCGGGTGTGCCTTGGTATGGGCTTCTGTAGAAGGCTCCTAGGGTAACAGTGACTAAGGTAACGGTGACATCTGAGCTCAAGGAGGGCTGGCCTGAGGGTGGTGCCAGAGCTGAGTGTGCTGAGTGCAGGGGAGTGACCTCCACAGCCCGTGTTCTGCCTCTGCGAACTGTGCAAGGACTCACAGCCCCGGGCGGCCTGAGCAAGCCTGGGAGAGGCCTCGAGTGCCTTGGTCTTGAACCTGCAGCCCCTGGCACCATGGTGCAGGAGTCTCTGCCAGGAGACCCCTGGTGTGCGACTTCTCTGCGGCTGCCCTGAGTGACAGCCTGTTCCTTTCCCTCCAGTGAACACGGAGCAAGGCTGGCCCGGGGGACGGCCCCAGGCACCCTTGTCCTGCAGTGGGGACTTAAAGAGCAGTGCCCTCAGGCTCTCCCCCCGCCCCCAGCTGTAACTGTGTGTTCCCCTGCAGATAAGATGAGAACTCTGCTGTAAACAGGGTTTGTGTCCTCTCTTCTCCCAGAATTCCTAAGGCTCCATCCTCTTTCAAGCCTAAGTCCTCAACCACTTTGTGTTGCTCCTGGACCCACACTCTGACTCCCTCAGTTTCTAAAGCCCCCCAGACAAGAGAGTCTTTGTTCCAAGGCTTTTGATCACATAAGGTCAAGCCTGGTGGGGGGCGTGCAGCTAACACCCAGTGAAACCCCCCATTGTCTCTCTGATCTCTTGGATTCTGCAGCAGATCTAGACCCCTGGGAGCAGGTGTGGATGCCCTCACACACGTGCATACTGGTAAGGAACACATTGCAGGCATGTTATTCTCTGTATGGAAAGTTCTAGACACACATAACCCATAGTTCCCGTGATTCCTTCAGTTCCAAATCAGATAGCAGGGCACATTCTAGCCTTTCCTGACTGAAGAAGACACCAACAAACCCTCCAGCTTCATTTGCTTCATGTTGTTGTCACCTGCTTGTTTTTGGATTCTTGAGACAGGCTCTCACTGTGGGGCCCAAGCTGACCTTGAACTTGCAGCAATCCTCCAGCCTCAGCCTCCCAAGTACTGCGATTACAGGTGTGAGCTACCACACCTGGCTCTTTTATTTGCCTTTTGTTGACTCAAAAAAAAAAAAAAAATCCCTGCTTGGAGGTTACACAGCTGGGCTGTCGCACATTAGCGTCCCTTGGCTTTGCTGTGATGGCAGCTCTGCCATATGGGTCATGAGAACAGTTACCTGGGCTCCTTCTCAGCGACTTGGAGTCCTAAGCCTGCAGACCCTAACCTTGGGACAGACCTCCGAGGGTGGAAGTGTCCAGGGGAGTTGGTAGAGGTTGGTGTGATCAGCCCTGAGTCTCTCCTCTTCCTCTACAGCTGGAGCTGAGTTCTGTTCCGTCCTCGAGCCTGGAACAGCACCCAGGAGTCTCCAGTGTTCAGCCCTGTGGCACCCGTGCCCACGCTTTGCCTCTCTATAAAGCCTCTTGGCACCGCAAGTTCCCTAGTGACAGCTGTGGGGACAGCTGCCACCTGGCTGCAACATGGGGACTGGCAGGAGTTCTAAGCAAAGCCCTGAGAGAAAAGAAACAAATTTGGGCAAGAGGAAGGGGAAGATGAGGGCTGTCCTAGGGCTAAGAAAGCAGCCAGGCTGCATGAGACTGGTGTGGCAGAGACCAAGAGCTGACCCCAAGCTCCCACTTAGACCTGCAGGCCAGTCCTGACTGCTTCCTGTAGCTGCTTTGAGGCCCCATAAAATGTAAATCCTATCGCTGGGGGTCTCTCTATTTGTGGCGTTTGGGTTTGCTGTCCCACAAGGTGCTGTGTGTTTCTATTCTAAATTTTCTATAGTAAATGTCATCCCAGCACTTGTGAGGCTGAGGCAGGAGGATCGCTGTGAGTTTGAGGCCAGCCTGGGTTACATAGTGAGGACTACATAGTGAGCCCCTGTCTCAAAAACAAAAACAAGAAAAGACAGCTTGGAACCCAGCCTGGGCAACTTAGTGACTCAGCAAGATCCATCTAAACAAACAAACAAACAAACAAACAAACCGACCAACCAAACAAACGAAAAAACCTCAGGGCACAGACCCTGGGTTTAGCCTCTAGTATTGGAAAAAAATATACAAAACAAAACCAGTGAGCTCTGTGTTTGCGTCATTTTTCTCTTCAGCTTAAAGGCACAAGGTGCACATGTTGCCATGGAAACCCTGGGAACAGCCTGGCCCTGGTCCCTCCCTTGTTCTCCCCCTTTAGCTCTGGCTGCTTTTGCTGCTGCCTTGAAGTGTTGCCCCTGTGCCCTGCCACCCTGCCTTGGAGCCAGCTGATTATGGACTGAAACCTCCACAACAGTGAGCTAAATAAACCTTTCTTTCCTTCATTTTGAGTGTCGGCTCCCTCAGTCTGGCTCACTTGTTTACTGGACTGAGTTTTGTGCCCCCACACCCACTGGGTTGATTCTGTGTGTGCGCACGCGTGTGTGAATGTTACCATAATTCTGAGCATTCAGATTGTGTAAAAAGGCACATTCAGGAAGCCCGATGCTGTCTGGCCAGCTGCAGTATCCACAGCTCCGCCTGCCTGGCCTCTGGGCTGTGATGGGCAGATCTGGTGCCCAGGCCATGCACAGGACAGGGAGGAAGAGGACAAAGTGGCGCCCTGGCCTGGCAGAGTGTCAGCACAGATGCTGGGCACAGAGCTCCGGAGTCCAGGCCCTGGTCCTGGGCAGCTGGGAAGCCCTCTTTGGCCCTGCATGGAGATGCCAGGGGGCTCAGAGCGCTGGGTGAGTTACAGGAGCCAAAGGAACCAGCTCGCTATGCCCACTGGAAGCCCCGGGTGCAGGTCTCCCCTGTGGGGCAACCACAGATTGATTGAGAGGTAAAGGACGCTTGGGGAGAGAGCCCACGTTCACGGGAAGAAACAGCTCTGGAGACAGGACAGGAATGGATCAGGCAGGATGACTGCTGGAGCCTGTGGGGAGTGGGGCAGAGGCGAGGGCCCCGGGGTCCAACTCCGAAGCCAGCAGGGAGGGCACTTGATCACAGCCCCGAATTTGAGGAAGGGAGCGGGCATCAGGCAGAAACCGCCTTGTTGGGCGCAGGCGCTCAACATACCATACCCCAGCCGGGACTAAGGACCACGCCAGCTTCCGCAATGCGCTATGTCCCTCTTTAAATTAGCCAACCCGTGCGCAACCCCGCGCTCTACTCCGTACTCTGTGGCAACTCCTGATTGGCCACAGCTGGATATAGTAGCCGGAGCCTACATCCCACTCCCGCCCTGCTTCCTTGTGGGCAGCCTGTGATTGGTCACGGCCAAATATATAAACCAGAGCCTGCGTAAATAAACTAGCAGTTAACTGTCGCCCACAAAAGCGTCTCCTGTCTCCTGTTTCATTGGAGCTGCGCCGGTCACCGCCTTCTCTTTGTCACACAAAGAATCACAAAAATAGGGCCAGGACTAGTGGAGGTCAGGACTAATGGAGATGTGCAGCAGACAGAAGACAAGGATGGGGCTGGTGTAAACTCAGCACCCAGGAAGCTGAGACAGGAGGATCCCCTTGAGTTTGCATAGTGAGACCCTGTCGCAAAAGGAAGGAAAGAGAAGCTGTTGAGGGCGTGTGTGGGAACAGCAGGCTGGAGAGGGCACTGGCTTTGTTCTCTGTGACAGGACGTAGTAGAGCCCAAGGGGCGGGCTGTGGGCCATGCAGGTGATGAAGATCTGACCACAGCAATAAGGTGCAGATGGTCTTCAGGAGTGGGTGGGAGGACACTTGAGGAGGTGGCTGCCCCCCAGGGGAAGCAGGATCTGGGTGGCACCGGATCCTTTGGAGTTTCTGCTCGGAGAGTTTGCAGACCTGGGGTGCACTGGGGTTTCCTGGGAGCACGGGGGTCCTTCACACCCGGAAGATGAGCGCTGTTCCTAATTCCTGTAACTTTTTACTGATAACAACTTTACTCAGCTGCAATTCAGCCCATTTTAAGTGTACAATTCAGTGGCCTTGAGTGAGCTAAGTGTGGGATGAGCGCCAATAGCCCACCTTTGGGGAGGCTGAGGCAGGAGGATCACTTTAGCTCAAGAGCTTGACAGCAGCCTAGGCAACACAGTGAAACTTTGCTCCCCCCTGTTCCCCCCACCCCCTGAGAAAGGGCTGTTAGTTACTTTGTAGTTATGCGACCTCTACCTCAATTTTAGGGTGTTTTAAGTGTCATCTCACCTTGCCCCTCACAAAATCAGTCAGTGCCTCTTCTCTTTAGCTGTGGGTCTTCAGTATGTACAGCCTTCAGAAAGTATGAGTCTGTTCTGTCTCCCAGGATTCACTTACTCCAGACAGTCCACATAAGTGGTGTCTTGATTATTTTTCTCTCACTGCTGGGACAAAATACCCGACACTCAAAATGAAGGAAAGAAAGGTTTATTTAGCTCACTGTTGTGCAGGTTTCAGTCCATAATCACCTGGCTCCAAGGCAGGGTGGCAGGGCACAGGGGCTACACCTCAAGGCAACAGCAAAAGCAGCCAGAGCTAAAGGGGGAGAACAAGCCCCTTCTCCTTCCTTACACTGTATGAAGACCACCCCCACCCCCACCCGCACCTGCCCAGGGCAGGGCGAGTGTAGCAACCACAGCCTCTTGTGCTCTCCTCTGGCACAGGCTGAGGCTGTTTACAGAGAAGGAAGGGGCCCTGGATCCCTGCTGGGTCTCCTAGCTAAACCTCTGAACTTCTCAAGTTGACACTGATGCATCAATTGTAGCAAGTGGAATCACAAACTGTGGCCTTCGGTGCCCAGCTCGTTCCTCTGCAATTGACATTTTCAAGCTCTTCTGTGCCCAGCAGGGTTCACTGCTTCTTTCCCTTTTATGGCCGAGCCATGGCCCATCATGTGGCCTACCGTTTACCATTTGTCCATTGAGGGACATTTGCAGCATTCCTAACTGTTGGTGACGGTGATGGACATCACTGTAAAGGTTCCTGCACTGGTTTCCATTCCTCTTAGGTGTGCTCCTGCGAGTGGAAATGACCATCTCTGCCTAACAGTTTGAGTCATGGCCAGACCCTTTCCCACAGCACCGCCCCGTCTTCCATGCCTGCCAGGTGGCCCTCAGCCCTCCAATTTGCTCCCCGTGACAGTTAAGCTGGGTTATCAACTCCATCAGCTTGAGCTGAGAGCTGTCCAAGGGACTAGTGGAAAACTAATATGGCTGGATCCTGGAAGTGTGACCTCTGCGTCCACCTACAGCCCCTGGCCTTCCTCCCTGGTGCTCTCACCCTAAGCTCTGCTTCCTGGCCAGCATGAGGGGAGCAGCTGCCCTCTGCCAGGCCCTCCACCATGGTGTTCTACCTTGGAGCCCGCTGACCATGGACTGAACCTTTGGAGACATGAGCCGAGTAGCCTCTCCTCCTCTAGACTGCAGGTGCTAGTTATTTTCTCTAGCAACGGGAGAGCTAATGCAGAAAACTGGCACCAGAGAAATGGGGTTGTTGCTGCAACTGTATCTGTGTTTGAGAGCCCTTTGGGGCTGGCTGGTGGGAGGCATTTGGGAAGATTCGGGGATGGTGGTGGCTGATAGCAGCCCCTGGATGTTATCACCAAGGCTGTATGATTTTTTTTTTCGGTAACAAGGATTTAACTCATGACCTTCTGCTTGTCAGGCAGATGCTTGTGCCACTGAGCTGTATCCTTGGCGCTTATGTATGATTCTGATAGAGTTCAGAACATGAGTGCTGATGAGTACAGACAGAAAGGCCAGGCTCAGGGAGCTTGAGCTGAGGAGGAGGACCCCTGGGAACTGGACTAGAGACCAAGCTTCTTACATTTTTCCATGCCTTGAGACTTCGTGGAAGGGTGAAATGGTTGGCAATGGATGAAGTGTTCTGGCAGAAGAAGTTTTAAGGTGACCCAGCTGCTTTTAGTCAGATTTATAGGAAGAAACAAGAACAAAAGCAGAGCAGAAGTATGGGAAACATTTCAAACTTTGGCTTAAAAAGATCCATGTGTCAGGGCTGGGGATTTAGCTCAGCGGCATAAGCGCCTGCCTTGCAAGCAGGCAGTCATGAGTTTGATCCCTGGTACCAATAAAAAAGATAAAACACACACACACACACACACACACACACACAAAAAGATCCATGTGTCCAGCTGGGAGCTGAAGGAAGTGTGCCTACTGGATTTGTGCCATTAAAAATAAATCAAAGCCAGAGGTGGTGAAATGTGAGCACTCTGGGAGGCTGATGCAGGAGGGCTGCAAGTTCAAGCTCATGGAAAGTTGTTTTTTGTTTGTTCTGTTTTGTTTTGTACCGGGAATTGTGCAAATTCAATCTTAGCCTGGGCAACTTAGAAATTTAGGAAGCCCTTGTCTCAAAAATAAAGTGAGAAAGGAAAGAACGAAGGAAAAAAGAAGGAAAGAAAGAAAAAAGGACTGGAGCTATAGCTCAGGGCGTAGGCTCTGGCTTCAGTCTCCAGCACTGGGGTGGGGAATTTGGGGGAAGGGGAAGAAACCAAGTATTTAAACCAGGAAAAGAAGATGCCCACAGGGCACCCCAGGATTCAGCAAGGCCCCTCCTATTTCAGAACCAAAGGTGCATGTTTGAGCAGACAGCATCTATGCCCTGCTGAGAAGGGCTGCCTTGGGAATCGGTTCCCTGGGATTCTACTCGGCGCTCACCATGCAGGCACTCAGGCTGCCACAGCCATGGTTTGGGGGCCCAGCTACTGCTCAACCTGGCACAAACCTTGGGGTCATTTTACCTAGTGCTGGTTGCATGGATACACAAAATACAAGAGTTGTATTTTGGGATGGGCCAGGGCGGCTCCATCCAGATCTCCTAAGAAGGACTGAGGGGCCAGGCAAGGAGTCCCGAGAGCAGAATGTGCTGTGACTTCAGGCCGGGCCAGGGCTGAGCGGTGGGAGGCATCACCTGGGGACAGGCTGGCCTCTGTGCTGTGCTGCAGACCCTATCACTCGTGGAGGACTTGGGTCCACAGTGCCTCTGGCCGCAGGCGAGGGAAGCGGCCACCTGACTGGTCCCAGCACTGTTTGGCTGAGAGGTTGTGGAAAGAAATGACCTGAACTTCTGCTTCTTTGAACATTAAAAGGGGAAGGCAAATATAACTTAGACTGTTTTCTCTTAGGAGTTGGAGAGGAAGAGGCGAGCTATGTTTTCCAAACCCAGGCAGTTTTACTTAATTAACTCACGTTTGTTCAGGACAGAGTCCCTCTGTGCATGTAGCTCAGGATGGCCCTGAACTCACATGTGGCCCAGACTGGTCTCAAACTCACAGCTTCCGGCACACAAACCCCAGAAGGGCTGAGACCAGCGCTCTGAGAAGGGCAGCAATGGGTAGCTATGGGGGTGCATCTGAAGGATGCTGTGGATGGTTTAATGCTTGAAGCTGCTCTCCCCACTGTGAAGCGAGTCTGCTCTCAGGCTTTGGGAGTGGGGTCGGAAGTGGTCCGTCCCTCCAGCTCTCCACACTGCTGTGTGTGTGCATGGCAGGCAGCTGTGGGCTCCACCCGCTCCTCCAGGGAGGAGCCCTGGCTCAGCTCATTTTGGGGCCCAGGGGCTGGTGCCAGTGTCCTCCATGGCTGTGGCACATGGTGGCGTGTGGAGAAGAGCTTATACTGCCCAACAGGAGGCTGGGGATACACAGGCCCGCCCCAGATCCCCAGAACCTCTCACGGAGACCTTGCCCTCCCCAAGGTCCTGCCATTTGCCCCCTGGACCATGTTCAAAATAGAGGGGCCTCGCACACTTCCCTGCCACTGACCGTGCATTTGCTGGCTGTGCTGGGCATGTGCTGCATGGACACAGTAGCCTGGGGGTGACGGCCAGGCTAGGGCTGCCGAGCTCAGGGACCAAGGGAGTTTAGAACTTCAGGCCCCAGTGGAGCTGTTCAGAGCTGGGCACCTATCCCAGTGCGACACCTGAGGGGCACAGAGCCAGGCTTGCATGCCCAGAGCCCAGGGCACCTGACAGCAGCCTGACTTCCCACAATTCTAAGCTCTGCAGGCTGAATCATTTAATGCTTTCTTCCTCTCATGGGATCGCTAAGGTGATGGCCCGTAGAGAGGGGCGTCAGCAGCCCTGTGCTGAGCGGCTCTGGGAAAAGCCTGTGCAGTGAAATGCGGCCTGCAGCTGTGGGCCCTGCCTCCAGGAGCCACAGGGGTCATGAACCAGAGTAGCACTGACACTTCCTGGCTCTGGCCTGCAGCTTTTGACTGGGGGAGGCCCTGCCCCCTGGGCCGAGGGCTTGGCAGCACCCCTGTCCTGCTTGTGACTAACCCAGCAGGCGGGCAAGGGTGGGAAGGGTGTTCCCACCCACCTTGGTGGGAACACCAGCATGTGCACGCAGCACATGCACATGACAGGCAAGAGCAGCAGTGGGGAGAGCCCTGCAGCCCTGCACGCGGGGGAGGGGGGGACGATGACGGACACGGCTGGCAGTTGCCCCCAGGAGCTTTTGGCTCCATCAGCTCAATTATGCGGAGTCCCGGCCTGCAGCGAGCTGTGCCTGTGCTCATGACAAAGCTGTGCTGGGCTGTCCCCTCCGTAGAAACACCTTGGAGCACAACCCACAGAAAACATGGTCATTCACCACTGTGAATCACAGAGGTTACTTCACCAGCCTGAGGCAGTGGTGGGTGCTGGGGTCTTCAGGGCAGGCCAGAGCAGGAGGCGGCTGGGGGAAGGGTGGTGGACCTCTATTTCCTTTGTGAGCTGATCTCCAGCAGCATCTGAGGGCCAGACACCAGGCCTGGGTTGCCCAGCCTAGCCTCCAGCCTTAGTGCTAGGACTGGGCAGGCACTGGCAGGCCCGGCTCCCTCACTGTGACTGGACTATCAGAGCAGAGCTGCCCCTCAGCACTGACTGCATGGGCTCTGGATCCGCAGGTTCATGACCCAGGCGGCCAAGGCCTGCCTGGTACCACCCTGCGGGCCTCACTGCTGTCCAAGACACAGCCTCCTCCCGCAGGGCTGCCCAGAGGGGAGCCAGGGCTCCACAGCTCAGTGCTATCCTGAGACCTCATCACACGGATCGCCACCCACAGCACTTCCACCCCACGCCCTGGGACGGCATGCCCAAATCCACTTCCACCAGCACCCGTGAGCTCCTGGTTTAGGGGTGGTCACAGCACACAGCAGGTTTCAGGAGAGGGGACCTGCTCATGGCTGTGCTACTCTATGACGGCTGTGCTGCCGTCTGGCCTGCAGAAACCGAAACCGGTTAAGCGGCAGCCTCTCCCTACTGGCGTCCAAGAGTGCCGGAGCCTGTCACCAGCTGGCGGGGGAAACCCCTGCTCCGACTCCGGCAAGACGACTTTACTTCTTCCCAAGAGAGCTCCCTCATTTGTTACGTTTTATTTTATATCCCAAGTTCAAAAATCCTGCTTCACTTACACCCAAAGTAATAGATAAATATTAATCCTTACCCCAGGACAGCTGACTCGACAGCTGACTCCAAGGAAGAAATGGACTTTCCATGAGAAATAAACCACCCTGAGAATACTGTATCACTACAAATTTTATTCAGAAACCCATCTTTGTTTTTTTTTTGTTGTTTTTTAAAAAAAATTCCCATTATGAACTGGTTTGGTCAATCAACTACAACACTTTCTAGCAGACATATGGTAAAAACGGCACGGCTCAGAATCGCCCAGATCTCTCCCGGTCTCTCGATCGCCTCCGGTCTCGCTCCCGGCCTCCGCCGCCTCCTCCACCGCCACCTCCGCCACGACCACGGTCTCTGGACCGAGAGCGCCGCTCCCGGGACCGGGACCTCGATCTATGCCTGCAGTTGGAGGAGACGTGGTCAGAGCTCCAGGCACAGCCAGGCTGTGTGGGCATCCACACCCCCCAGCTCCTGCCCATGCACCCAAGAACAGAATAGGGCGACACCTCTTGCCCTCCCCATGGTGACAAAGCGTGGTGTGCCAGGACCCCCACCGCGTCAGGCTGAACCTGGACAGGAGGGGAGACGGCTCTCTTTGTGGACAGCAAGAGTCCCCGACAATGCCTCAACTTCCCACACTAGCTAAAGGGCAGAAAGCTTGGGCCTCTGCTCTGGGACGGGATAAGACGTGACCGCCAGGTTTTTTGGGTTTGCTTTTGGAGACTGGGCCTTGCTACGTGTTCCAGGATAGCCCTCAACTTGGTACACTGGCACTTTGCTTCATGAACACTTTTGCCTGCAAACAATTTAATTGGTTCACAAACCAAAGTGTTAGGCAAAATCTTTTGTTTGCAAACTGCATCAGGTGATAAAAACCACTGTGGCTGTCTTTCCTACACAAACATAGCCATCTTTTCCAGAATCGTGGAACAAATCATACTTATGAACCAAGTACCACCCTATGTAGCCCAGGCTGGCCTCAAAGCTGTGGCGATCCTCCTGCCTCGGCCTCCCCAGTGTTGAGTTACAGGCGTGTGCCACTATGCCTCCTCACAGCTGGGCACTTGGAAGGCAGGAGGAGGCGAGTACCTCCAAGACAAATGAAAACAGCCCCCCAAGCCCCAAAAAGCACCTGCAGCATTCACAGGAAGCTACACTGCCTAACCCAATGCTGTGCAGCCCCAGGATCACACAGCTGCACACTGCAGGTAGGTGCTTCATGCATTCTTCCCCCCAAGGCACGCCTGTGGGGTTCCAAGCTGCTGCTCGTAAGCACAGACTGACACGAGGGCAGAATCCGGCCCTGGGCGCCTCCCGGCTTCCAGGACACCCAGAGTACTCACTTCTTGCGACGGCGCCCGTACAGCTCTCGTCGCAGCTCTCTGGAGATTGGCTTCAGGTGCATGAAGTTGCAGAAGCCTCCTCGTGTGCACTCCCTGCGGGTAGGCAGACTGGGGTCAGGACGGCCGAGCACACCCGGGGCACAGCTGCCCACCTGCCCTGCAGGACCCCGCACTCACCCCATCTCGTACTGACGGCAGCAAGCTTCCCTGAAGTCAGTCACAGGTGACAGCTCAGCGTGGATCGGCTGTCCGTTAAACCAGCGGTTATTGAGGTCGATTACGGCCTTCTCTGCATCCTCCTCACGGCGAAACTGACCAGACAAACACAAACACAGGTCACTCCTTGGGAGCCCACACCCTGCCAGCACCCCCTGTGGACCAAATGCCTGCGGTGCAGGGTGTCGTGCAAGGCGCCAGCAGCCCAGCCCGCTGTGGCAGGGGGATGGGTCTCCCCGCAGCCCCAGACCACGGAATGCTGCCTCTGCTCTCAAATTCTGACTTAGAGCAGATGTGGTACGTGCGCAGAAAATGAGACTAAGAAAAAGCTAAACAAAATGAGCCCCAAAGAAAGCAGGCGCAGGCAGCCCTAGGCCGGAGCACTGACCCACAGCTGCTCCTACCTTGACATACACGTTCCCCACGAGGTGGTCCCCCAGGTTGTCGCAGACATTCATCTCCTCCACCTCCCCATACTTCTCCTCCATCTCTGTGAAGACCTCCTGGAGAGAGCACAGAGGTGAGGCCAAGCACGCCCCCGGGGTGGGTGGGAGTGCTGTCAGGGGCTCCCCGTGTCTGGGCCCGGGGCGCTGCGCTCACCTCAAAGAACTCGTCGTAGTGCTCCTGCATCTCCACATCGCTCACGGCACCTGCGGACGGACGAGAGACAGCTCGCTGGTTAGTGCCGGCGCCAGACAGACTCGTCCTCACGCTCAACGGCTATAGTGACACATGATTGTCTAGAGGACACAGGCCAGAGTGGCGCGCTATGGGGGCACCGGTCCGGTCACTGGACTCAAGTTCGCTGCGATGTCAAATGCCCCGACAGTCTCCGCTCTGGCTACCACAATAATCACTGCCAGCTTTAATCAGCAGCAAAAGGCCATTTTCAGAAAGTGAGGAAAGGCTGGCTCTCAAATTGAGACTTTTTAAACAGAGTTTTCTTCTAAGACTCAGGACAGAGACCGAGTACATGCAGTGATTTCCCCTTCACTGGGTTAAAGAGCAAGCTGCCGTGTGGGCCCACGACTAGGCGCTCCCAGGCCTAACTGGCTCCTGTTGTACACTGCCAGCCACGGAACACCGGGAAAGTCTTTTTGGTGTGACCAGACTTAGTACCATGCCCAGGCACAGCTTCGGAATGTGGGTGCCCTGAACAGGGGCAGCCATGGTGCTCTGCTGACGACAGCACTCCTGCTTTCTCCACAACTACTGTCCTCAGTGTGCTTTCACACTCACATGCACTAAGTGGGATCACGTCCACTCTGGGTGACTGCACACTTACATGCTACCCCAGCGACATCCTCTCTACCAAGTTCTACTATGCAAAATCGAGTTCTTTTAACTTAAATCTGAGAAGTCACACAGCAGGATGCCAACAATGTCACATTCCAAGCAGTCAAAGGCTGGCAAGGCCACTGGCTTCCAGGCTGGGCCCACTTGGCTCCGCCACCTCCCACAGCCACATTCCTGAACACGAGATGGGCCCAATAAGCCAGCTGCCTGCCCGACCAGGGCACCACCAGGGCTATGTGACCAGGTCTAGAGAGTCTACAGTGGCACCCCTGCGCTCTCTCAGAACTCTTATTAGGAGCTAACATCTTCAGATTCAGAGAATGATCTAGGTCCCTTTCCTAATATACCCGTGGCTGTGCTTTAGTTGTTTCTGAAATCCCAGGAACTTGGTTTATCTTAAACCCCAAAGCTTACAGAGAAGCAACAGTATGGCCAAGTGAGCGGCTAGCAGGACACAGCTCCGCCCCCAGAAGCAGTCAGGTTACAAACAATGGGAAAGCTGGCCAGAGGCCGCTCCTTCCAGGGTGGACTGCAACATGATCTAAAACTCACTTCCTTTTCCATACCAGAGAGAATGTGAAAAGGAAAAAATCTGTAAACGCCCAAAGTTTTAGCAGCTTTGAGGAGTGTTCCAGTAGTGGTTGTTTTAAACTGCTGGCTATATTCATTCTAAAATTTTTAATCAGTCACAATGTCTTGAAAGCAAAAACCAGTACATTAAAATACTGATCAATAGGACATTATTTAAATGACTATATAATTAAAATAACACAGCTTAGAACGTGACCAGTTTTTTATAGAAATGTCATTCTTAAACTGGGATTCATATTTAACATTTATCCATGCACATGAAGCTCATTTTTCTACAAACGAAAGGTATGTTAAAAAGAACCAGTAACTTTATTGAGGTAACTGATTGTCTTTCTAAAATGCAGAATTAGAATTTACTTTGATCTGAACCCCAGAGCTGGAATACGTAGAAGCTAGACGTTTAGTTTACAGCAGATGCAAAACAAGAGTACTGTGACTTAAAAACAGACACAAAAGCAGCTAGTATGACACTACAGCCAATAAACACGCAGGGGCAGGGCAACCAGGGCAAAGGCCTCTTAGTTGTGGTCACTCAGTAGTCTACTTGCCCAGGGCAAGGCCAACAAACGAGTGAATCCACATGTAAAGATTCCCTCCACCTACTGACACCACCCTGCCCCAAGCCCTCGCACACCAAGGACTGAGCCCAGGACCTTCGCCCCAGCTCCATCCCCAGACCCGTTTATTTCTGAGATGGCCACAGGGTCTGTGTGATCCTCTTGCCTCAGTCTCCCAGAGTGCTGGGATCACAGGCATGCACCACCATTATCTTTAATAGGCATTTTAAAACAGGATTACCAAGTAAATCCTGCTACCATCAGATCAGGGAGAGAAATCTCTATGAAGTCAGTATGCTAGCATCAGAACCACACAGTATCTCAGCAAAAAAGATTTCTAACAAAATCCCACCCCGCTAGAAATGTGCACCCCGCCTCAGGGCAGTGCCTGAGGGTGGCTGGGCTCCTGAGAACCAGGGGTCACATCCAGGCGCCTGACTCAGCCCTCCCCTCCCCCAGGCTCTCCAGGGCTGTCTTGTTTCCTCCCGCTTTTATGGGAACCGGAGACTGACCTGAGGTTTAGAGGCCTTTTATTTCAATGCACCCATAAATGACTGAATCTCAGTGATTTTACTGGATGGTTGTAAAAATTGGCAATTTCATTTCTGAACTTTTCAACGCCACTGATCTGCACCCTGTTCTTTAAAACCCTCTACTCTACAAGCACACAAACCCTAAATGTAGTAGGGGAAGAAATCAGGTGTTTCCTGAAGGTTAGGTTAGATCCGCTACCCCATCGGGCACTTGGGGCTCTCCAAAGGCCGCCCCTGAGGCCCTCAGGTTGGGGAATTCATCTATGCAAAGCAGGCGGCTAAGAAGGGCGCCTCTTCTGCCAAGCAGTTATCTGACTTTGGTGCACTGGCATGGGTGTAGCAGGAGGGCTCAGGGGTCAGCGCGCACCACGGCCTCTCGTCTGGCAAACACAGAGCGAGGCTCTCAGGAGAGGGATCTCCAAAGTGGAGCTGAAGCAAAAACCGCTAATAAGAAACGAAATTTGAAAAAATTCTGAAGCAATCTGCTTTGGAGAGTTCCAGAAGGAGAAATGTTCCAACACTGCTGCTCTCGAGAGGGAAGAACAGAGCTCCGACTCGATCCCGGCGCGTCCCCAGGATGGCGGTCCAGGCGCAGGGAAGAGCAGCAGGTCTGAACTGTTTCCAAGGGGCCCTGCCCGCCACAGCTGTCCTTATGAGAGGGCCAGAGGTGCCCAGCTCTCCAGCAGAGGCTGCCACGGGCGGGGGCCAAGCTCCTGCCACTGCTCTCTAGTGCGGCCCTTGACACTAGCACAGCAGCCAGGTGGGTGGACACTGAGCTCTGACGCGCAAGCCCAGGGAACCAGGGAAGAACTTGGATGAACTTACAGCGCAAACCGTCAGCAGACTGGGAAGAGTTTTGAGGGTTACGGTAAATGTTCAAGAGGGCAATGGTCTGAAATACAAAACGCAACAACTTTATATTATGGAAATTGAATGTACACACTTCACCGGCTGCCTCTGTGACCGCGTCAGCTGAGTCAGTGCTGAAAAGAGAGCAGGTTATTTCTTCAGAAGCAGAGATGTTCCCTTAGTTGGTGGCTGCCTTGAACTACCTTGCCCTACTGTGACAGAGATCTCATGAGATGCCAATACTGTACTTCTGCTTACAGAGTGCAGAAATAATCTCAGATTCCACCTCAAGTTCCAATCCAGGCCGGCAACTACCAGAATGATCTCAGATGTAGCAGAACACGAACAGAAAGAGAAGCACCTCTAGAGATGGATGAGAAACTGCTGTATTAGAGAAATACAATAGTTACATGTCATGAAATCTCTACCGCCTAGAGGAGAAGCTGTGATGGTGAAATAAAACCACACTCATTGGGCAACTTACCTTATTGATTCCTTAGTGTCCCTAGCATTTTTAATTCACAGAAAGAACTTAACAGAGGCCAGGAGTTCAGTCGCTGGGAGGCCCAATGATCGGCTGCTAAAGCGAAAGCCCGCTCCTCGCGCACAGGCACTCTCCTGACCGACGGCGGTCAGCGGAGAGGCCGGCCAGTGACCTCCCTAGCAGAGCCTCCTGAACTTGGCCGCAGCAAGTTCTGGCTGTGCGCATCACGCGGTTCCGGCACCTTGTCCTGTTTGCAACAGCTCTATGTCAGCAGCTCAGAGCCAACATTATGTCTCAATTAAGAGTGGGCTCTTGAACACCATTGTCTTAAAAAAATTTCTCCAACTGTGGGACTTACAGTGTGAGCCGTCAGCCGTCTGTGCACTGTTTTGGGGATTACGATAGATGTTTTGAATCAAGATGGTCTGCGGGGAAAAAAAATAAAAAGGGGAATTCTACTGGCTGCTGTGCATATATCAGACAATTGCAAAGAGACAATTTGTTTGCAATGGCTAAACGTTTGTTTTTCCCGCAAGTCAGACATTTATTTTGTCTTGTGCAGAGTACACCAAAACCATCATATTATGAAAACAGAGTTTGAGCAGTGACTTGGGCCAAGCCAGCCAGCAACCAAGAAGAAACTGCAACTTGTTTTGGGCAGCCCCCATTATCAATAGTGAAGTGCTTCGATACAAGATAAGTAACGGGACACTAATGTTTTCTTGTACTTCAAGCCAACAGACACAAAATTGTCAAAAGACTCACATTATAATCATTTTTCCCACACATAATTCGTTTTCTTAACCAAATGCGTAACTCGACTTTACGCAGGACGCCAAGCTCCCTGTCTCTTTGGAAAGCAGGCACGCCAAGTGGTCATGGATACCTGGCTCTTATTTACGCTTTCTTGGTGGGTCTCTGTTTACATAATACAATAGTTAAAACATTTGCTCTTTTCCGATCCTTCTTTTAAGGAAATAATCCTTTTAGCCCTTGTCCTTTAAACTGGATCAGGCAGACTTGAAACCTTACACTGTACCGTTCTTCTTAAAATCAAGTTGTCTGAAAAAACAAACCATGTTTAAGTTAGTAAGCTAATATAGTACATGAATCTCATTGTCCACATCACTGTAAGCAGCTTACAAAGAAACCCACCCTGAGTTATGCTAGATGCACCAGCTAACCCAATTTACGCATGACTCAGAAAATAAGTGCTGGGCCTTGGCAACCCGAGTGTGGAGCAAGCAGCCTGCAGGGGCCTCCTGGGCTGGTGGGTCTGCTCGCAGCCTCGAGTGGAGGGGCGTGAAGCCCAGGCTGCTATCAGAGGGTGCTGTACAAAGGCCAACGGTGGACGGCACACTGGGAACCTGAGGACTGATGCCGTCACTGGACGTTCCGTGGGCCCAAGCTTTTAGCTTTCCTCCAGGACTCATGGGTAGGATGCCTCTCAGGACAAGCGCAACAGAGTCCTGCTGTTCAAGCTCTCTGCAGAAAGTGCCACCTAAAGTGGCAACGTGGCTCCATTAAAATCTGTGGCCAGGGTGACTTTGGATGGACGAATCAGAACCAAAAAAGGTACTTGCTTAACACGCACCACCGACCCAGCAGGCTGTAACGGCAGCACCACCTTGCTCAGACCCACAGTGCTTATCCTGGCTTCTCACTGAACCCCAAGGAGTCCGGTGATTCAGAGAAAGCACACACAAGTGCCTCTGCTTGCTTAGGGGCCTCTCTTGGGGAGGGGGAGCACTTTGGCTACCAGATCCCCAGTTCAACATTGAAGGTGCTCAGTGACTGTATGATCCATGGCCACTGGTTCAGTGGGGGAAATTTAGTTAATAAACCAAGTATTAAACATAATTAAACAAAAGTTTAAAGTAAGCTCTCAGATATCCTGAACATTGAACCAACTGGCAACCAAAAATTGCAAGGGAAAACCCAGGGTGCTCTTCCCCTCAAAAAATGCATTTTGTTGTGGGGTTTCTGAGGGGTTTAACTAATAAAATCCCAGACTCTCTCTTCTAGCTCAATTATATCGACTGGCAGAGAAGCAGGTCTCATCTGTGAGAATGTCAACACATGGAGAGGTAGGCACAGGACAGGAGGAGGAGCTGCCAAGGCGCCAGAGCTGCACACGCAGATCCTGGGGTGACGAGGAGCTGCGCACCTTGGCCGACAAAGACCGGCCACGCGTTCTTGGACTTGGGGGGCCGCTGCTTACTGCTGCTGTGAGGGCACACTCTCTTTTTAATCATCTGTGTGCCTTTGTAGGGAGCAAATCCTGGCCTTATTTTTCAATCTGCCACAGATAAGAACAGACTACTGCAGATGCAGGTCTCTTTTACTATGAGGTTTCACCTCAATGGTGCAACCTACTGCTTGCTCAACTTGGGCCATCGAGACAAGGATGGTGCTCAGGTACTGAGATCTAAGTGGATCAGCACTCCATAAGCAGCAGTCGTGTGGCTCTCCTCTCTGGAGAGAGCAGAGCAGAAAAGTGGGAAAGAGGTGCAGTGAGCACCGCCTCCAGCGGCTCTGTCAGGGGGAGAGACAGCCTTAGCTGCGGCCACATAGACTGGACTCTTGTTTTTACCAAGTTTCCAAGGGTGACCAAAGTGGGAGGAGGGGTCCCCACTGGGATGGTTCCCCTGCTGTGTTCATTTGCTTGAACAAAGGAACATATGAACACAAGTGCAAAAGTAACACAAACAGGGAAGAATCATCCCCTTAATATGCTGAAATTACTTAATCACCTCTGAAAACACATTAAAGTTTGATAATTTATGTGACAATAAAAAAGGAAAAAAAAAAACAAACAAACCTGGCTAAAGGTTGGTTTATTGTGCAACCGAGAGCACCTGTCTCCATGACGACATGCTCCAATTTTGAAATAAAATGAGCAGTTGACTCTGCAAGGGAAAACAAGACCAGGTTATTTTGCTGAGAAGACACAAGACAGAAATATGTCACTCACGTGCTCTGCCCTAACTGGTACCTCCTTTACTTCACATAGCACAGGCATGCGGCTTCTTCCTGGTCCTTCCCCTTCCCTGCCGCATTTTGAATGCCTTAAAAACTGTGTCCTTCTACAAAAATGTCACTCTTCCAATAAAGCTCCTTTTAACACATACTCTTTATCTGCTTTTTGGGGGGTGGGGTACTGGGGATTGAGCTTACAACCTTGAGATTGCTAGGCTGGCGCTTATGCCACTGAGCTAAATCCCCAGCTTTTTTCAAATAAGTTTTATCTGCTCTTTTGAACAACAAACTATGCAGGAGTCTAAAACTAAATTTAACTGACCTCTTAGCTGTTCTCTATTGTTATAAGATGAAATTCTCACTGGGAGTGTAGACCCTCACCAAAGGCCTGGGCCAGGTATGGCTGCCGGCTTCTCTAAGTAGACTCAGATGCCATCTGCAAAGCAAGGGGGCGCCACCCTGGTGCTGCTCCCAGGATCACGCCTCGCACACAGGACTCAGTGCTATCACTAGTTACCGAAGAGCGAGCTCAGATTCTCTCCAAATGCCTATCAGACCCAGGGGGAAATTCCCACACCTGTCTAGAGAAAGGAACTCTCAATGTCAGTACATGGAAAACAGGCTACTGGAGAACCCAGCACATCTCGTGGCCTTTGGTCTCCACTGAAGGGCCCCCTTGACACTTCTCAAATACTCCGAGATGGGACAAATCAAACCAGCACCTGTGCGGCAGCAAGGTCAGGTGCCTGGCAGATCTGTGGTGCATTAGCAGAGTTCACAAATTTCACTGGCTGGACCTCATTCCAATTTCAATTTGAGGGGCAGGAATGCTTCCCTGCAGATTTTTGTAAAATTTAGACACCAGTCATATCGGGGCAGTCAACTGAGAGTGAAGACCAAAGGCACCAACCCCAAGGACCAGAGAAGACTGATGAGCTACATTTACCATCACGGGCAAGTCTGTGAATGCTGCAGAAAGAAAAGAACTGCTACATGTAATTCACAAACTTTTAAGGCTTACTTGGCTAACTTGATTAGACAATAACCAATTTTCAGGCAGTCAAATGCAAATGAAGAGCTTATTTTACTTTATTACCATTTTTTGGTACTGGGAATCAAACTCAGGACCTTGTGCTTGCCAGGTAGGTGCTGTGCCACTCATTATTTTTGAGACAGGCCATCAAGTAGGCAGGCAGTTCAGGCTGGCCCTGGACTCACTGTGTAGCTCAGGTGGACATCGCTCTTTCAGCACTCCTGCTTCAGCCTCCCGAGTGCTGGGATTACATTTAAAAGTATCTCAGAATACCCAGATGTGATGGTACATTCTCATAATCCCACCTTTTGGAAGGCTGAGGCAGCAGGATCACTGTGAGTTTGAGGGCAGCTTGGGCCACACACTGAATTCAAGGCCAGAACAAACTACACAGCAAGACCCTGTCTCAATCAAAAAAACAAAAACACATCTCGCAATGGACAAAATTCCTGCCTGAACAACACTCAACTATCCCATATAAATAAAGGAACTCTTGTTCCTGGTAGTGCTAGCCAGTTAATTATTTACAGCTTAGTAAGTTAATCAAATTTTTCCGATCTGCTTACTGAACTACTGAGATAAAAAGGAGAAAGGGGAGATTTACTGTCACAGATGAGTTATCAGGCTGATGTACTGGGCCAGAACAATGTCTGTGACCTAAAATGTGTAATAAACTAAATACTTAGCATACACACTGTACTTCTGGTTTAAATTAAAAAATAAAAAAGATGCTGGGTGTGGTGGTGCACGTTCGTACTTACAGCACTTGGAAGACAAAGGCAGGAGGATTGATGAGTTAGAGGCCAGCCTGAGGAACACACTGAGCTCAAGCCAACCTGAACTACGTCGGGAGACCATGTCTATTAAAACAAACAAACAAACAAAAACCCCAAAAACCAAAACCCCCAGCAAACAGCAGCTTTCTTTCTTTTTTGGTCTTTTTGAGACAGAGACCTCCTGCCTCAGGCTCCCAAGTGCTGGGATTACAGGCATGCTCCACAATGGTTTTTTTTTTGTCTTTTTGAGACAGTCTGGCTACTCCTTTCAGGCTGGCCTTGAGCTGGCTTCATAGCCCAGACTGGTCTTGCACTCCCAATGACCCTCCTGCCTCAGTCTTCCCAGTGCTGCGATCACAGGCATGAGCTATCATGCCAGTCTAATACTTTCATTTTTTAGTTGACCTCATCTTCTGTAGCTACATCACCTGAAACAATTAACTTCCCAGATTAAAACTGTGACTTTTATTAGTTTTGTCTTAACAGGTTAAAATGGTACTTACATAGAGGAAATATAACAACATTACTAGGTCAAGTAAGAGTTTCTTAGACTGTGAGAAAGCTACAAGAGACAGCCTTTCGTAAGTTAGAAGCCCTGGCGCACAAACAGAAAAGGGGAAACCACCAATGCCTCCAATTCTGCCTGTGTCAGGTCTCCAGCCAGGGGAGAAGCCTCTTTCCAGCTGAGCTGGCTACTCATCCCCAAGTTCACAAAAGGCTCACTTCCAAGCCATCTCCTGTCACCTCACCGCTTTTAGAATGCACTCCTCCACAGTATTTAACAATTTTAATTTTATTGCAATCATCCCAAAAGCCTCCACCACCATGAGTTCCCTGAGGCCGGCCTAAAGTTGACATCCACTAAATTATTTCCGGGGTAACTAATTTGGGCTCAAGAATTTTTATGAAGAGCTATATCACCTCTCCTAAACAACACAGTAAATTCTAGCATGTGTAAAGAAGCCGTTTGACAGGACAGCCTCCATCCTGGAAAACAGAAACATTTTTAACAGTGTTTGAAAAAGTGGCATCAAAAACATTCCATAATAAATTTAAGGAGTTATCATTACGAACAGACATTCACATAAACTTTGTAGGGCACGCAAAAATGGCCAAAATTAACCACTTACTCAGAGCAGATTAAGCCAGACACTCTTTAGGATTTCAAAGTAGGAATTATCCTTCAAAGCGTCTCACGACGCTTTATCCTAAACTTCTGCCAACACTGGAAATTAACGCGCTCCAATTAAACAAAAGTGAAATTAAACTTTTTAACCTAGTGATTAACGAAGGTTTTCAACCTTAAAAAAAAAAAAAAGAGAAAACTCAAAAAAACCCAACCACGAAAGCGCCCGTTTTCTAACGCTGCAATCGCCAACTGTTTTAAAAGCTAGGTGCGACTTTCGGGGCTGAGCCCGGAATCTGCGCGACACTTTACCGGGTCAGGGGTCAGAGGCGTCGCTCGCGGCCCAAACTCCGCTCTGGCGGGCCGGGACTGGTTCGCGGGACCGAACCCACAAGCAAGGACCCAAGCGAGCAGCAGAGACCGGCCGACGACGACAGCGAAGGCCAAAGAGGAAGCGTGTTGGGCCGGGCCGCTAAGGCGCGAGGCCTGAGGCGGGAGAGGCCGTCGGCGCCCATTTACCCGCGCCGCCCACGAGGCGGCGGGTCCGCGGCGCGCGAGGCCGGAACGGCCGCCGCTTCTTCCCGCCGTGCCCTCCCCCGCCGCCTGGGCTGCCCTGCTGCGCGGCCGCCGCCCAGTCTGTGCCCCGAGGGGCGGCTCTCACTCACTTGTCTTTTTCGGTGCCGAAGATGGAGGCCAAATACTCCGCCATTTCCCACCACTGCGGCCGCCGACACGGCTGCCGACGCCGCCAACCCTGCCACCGCCTGTGGAAGACGTCACCGGACGCGACGACGCTCTCTCCACCCGACGTGGCGGCGCCGACCAATCGGGAGAAGCGCTGTCTGCGCGTGGGCGGGACGTAGTGCGCACTCGGGGTCCGCCCTGCTGGAGGCGGCCTCCCGCGCGCCCCCTATTGGCGACCTTTGGGCGTGCTCCGCTTCCGAGTCCTACGCTGAGGGGGTGTCCTGCCCCTTTTCCCACGTGCCTCTGCCGGGACCCTTAAACACTGCCCCTCTGCTCTTGTCGGTGGGATTCCCCCACCTCTCTCCGCTCCCCGTACCTCTGTCAGTTGGGATCCCCAGGACTCTCCGCGTGCTTGCTGCGGGCCCCTAGGGCCACCCAGCGGAGTGTTTGGGAGCCGTTCTGCGCCTCCCCCTGGGTTCTACCCCGTTAGGTGGTTATTCTGTGGTTTCCACCAGCCCTGATTTGCAGCCCAACTGCCCAGTAAGGCTGGGTAGCAAGACAGAGGGACAGAGTCAGGACCTGACCTCTCTGCCTACGCCAGTCCCTGACTGTGGGCTGGCCACGGGGTCAGCTTAGCTTAAAGGATTTTGTTAGTATAGCATCACTGTTGGCCTGGCCCACGCCCTTGCCATCTGGGATGGGTGACTGACGAGCAACTGGAGACCTCTTGGGAAGAACATGGGTCGACTGGACAGACAGATGTTTAGGCCTGTCAGCCGGGAAGTTGGGAGCTACAGAGAGGGCTCAGTTCTGGATCCCTGAAGGAACGCAAGAGAGAAGGCTGTTTGTGGGAAACCAACAGAGAGAGGAGGCTTTCAGGAGGAGTTAGCCTGGTTAACAGAGCTGGGGTGGATGAGCAGACAGGGCCTCCTACCCTGCCCACCTGTTTGTCCTCCATTTGTCTATCTGTTTACCCTTCCACTCACCTATCCATCCATTCACCTATCCATCTATCCAACTTTCCCTCCTTCCTTTTATCCACCCATCCATCCATTTGTCTATCTGTCCTACCAGCCACCCACTTGGCCACACATCCACCCATGGTTTTTTTTTGTTTTTTTGGTACTGGGAATCGAATTCAGGACCTTGCGCTTGCCAGGCAGGCGCTTATGCCACTGAGCTAAATCCCCAGCCCACCTGTGCTGATACATAGGGGCAACCCGGTGATGACCAGAGCTGGGGCCAGTGCTTGAACACAACCCAAATAGACCTCCACTTAGAAGTCTGCTGGACTCCTGGAGCCCATCCTGTCTCCACTCGATCTCATTTTCTCCCTCAACTCCTGCCTCCTGACCTCCTGCTTTAGCATTCATCGGCCGATCACCTGGGTTCCCCTCGACTTTCCAACTCTTGCCTCTGTGGAGGTGAGGTCATCTGCAGTTGCAGCAGTGATGGCCTCTCGCCCATCCTGCTGTTGTCCCCTGGCTGTGCACAGGCTGCCCTGCATGTCATACACAAGCAGCACGACTTGGGTGTGGAACACGCATAGTTCCTCCCAGTGTCCGTGACCGTCAACTTGGAGGCAGGGCAGGTCTGTGAGTCCTGTGAGCACCAGAGGAGCAGACTATGGCAAATGGGGTCCTGAATTGTGTGACCCTCGACACAGCTACTGCTGTGGGGTGAACAGAGTGCAGTCCGAGCCAAAACCAGCACTCCTGGACCGTTCCTTTGGGTCCTTCCGCCACTCGCACCTTTGCTAAAGCCCCGGTCTCGCACCTTGACTGTGTGGTCCTCTCATAGACTTGCTCGCTGCTGTCTTGCAGTGTATCCATAAACCATCTTCTTGCCTTCTTTGAAGGCTGGCAAATTCTTTGGCCAGGCTTTCACACGCTGTACGAGCGTGTGTGGCAGCAAGAGTGACTCTGTGCCCCCGCTGGCCCTTCTCTGCTTCCTTTCTCCCCTGGGCTGGGCCTCTGTGCACCAGGTTGAAGCAGCAGTGTCTCTGCCGCTGCCCAACCTCCTTTGCTTCTGGTACTGAGGTCCAAACCTCTGTACACCCCAGCCCGCTTGGCTTTTGCATTTTGGGACAGAGTCCTCCTGGCTGAGATCAGACTCAGGGTCCTCCCACTTCATCCTTCTGTGTAGCTGGGATTACAGGTGTGCCCCAGCATGCCTGGCTGCTTCTCCTCTTCTGGGTGACAACTTGTGCTCCAGGGAGGACCCAGATTTGACGCAGGGTCCTCTGTGGCTCCCAGTACCCAGAGCACACAGGCATCTGCCCAGCGCTGGTCTGTCTTTCCTACCAGAAGAGGGGTGCTTGAGGACCCCAGTTCTGTCTTTTCATTGTTTCCTGGTCGAACAGGTTCACGGGCCTTTACCTGCAATTCCAAAATACAAGTATTTTTTTCTTTCTGTAAATTTGATGCCAAAATTCAGTTTGCTACTAAAGCTGACGTGGTCCAAGGTATGAGTAGCATCATGGTGTTCCAGTAGTGGTGACTCTGCCGATTCCTGGTGTTTGTGTGCGTGTGTGTTTTGTAGTTCTAGGAACTCAACCTAGGAACAACTGAGCTATATCCATAGCTCTGTTTACCTTCTTTTCTTTTCTTTCTTTTTTTTGAGATGGGCTCTCGCTAAGATCAAACCAGCGATCATCCAGCTCCTGCCTCCTGAGGAGTTTGGACACCCAGCTAGTGCATTTCAACTTTTTATTTTCTCATCTTTTTTTTTTTTTTTTTTTTTTGTCTTTTTCATTTTTATCGGTACCAGGGATCGAACTCACGACCACCTGCTTGCAAGGCAGGTGCTTGTGCCACTAAGCTAAATCCCCAGCCCCACTGTGTCATCTTTTTGAGACAGGGACTCATTATGCAGTTCAGGCTGGCCTTGGGCTCACTTTGTAGCCCAGGCCAGTCTCTAACTTGCAATCATCCTCCTGCCTCAGCCTCCTGAGCGCTGGGATTACAGACACATGCCACCATGCCCAGCTTCCCAATTTTTAAATTCATCCTTTTGTGACCTTGGCTTTAACTGCATTATGAAGACACAGCAAAGGTTGAGTATTTCGCAGTGCTCACGTGGACATCCTGCCTCAGTGTGGGAAATGTCAGCTGAGCTGGGAGGCCCTGTAACTTAAGAGACCAAAGACACACAGTTGAGCTTTTGCAGTGACACCACTGCCCAAGAATTGTAAGAAAATAGAAACAGTGCGAGTGAATGTAGGGGGATCCTTGCCAGGAAGGGACCGAGCAGCGTTGGCAGGGAAGATGCCTGCCTATGCCAAGAGTGATTGCTGGTCGTGAAACCAGTTGGATCGTAGTAGAAGGAAGTGAACTTTAAAGGTGAACGTGAATATTCAGACACCGAGGTGTAAAGCAGGTGAACAGCTGAGACCAGAAACAGGTGGAGCTGCATGGTGGGGCTTCTGAGGTCCTGGCCCTGAGGATTTCAGTCCCTGCACTGTGCTCCCGGCTGGGAGGAGGGAAGGTGCCCCGCTGGGCCTAGGGCAAGGCCAGGGCCACGTAGGTGGGAGTGGCCGCGTGCTTCCCAGCTGTGTGGATGAGCGCCCTGAGAAAGGCTTTCCGCCTGGTGTAATAATCCCGTGCGTCCTGCCAGGGTCTCACGGCAGTCCAGCAGGCCTGGGAGAGAAGCAAGCAGATTACCATTTCTGCCTCACTGCTGCTTGAAGTGCCCATTCCTGGCTGGCTTTTGAACAGTCGTGCCTGGCATTTACTTTTCTTCATCCATGATAGCAGTGCACACCCCAGGGAGCTGGACTAGGGGTGCATTTGAGGGGCAGGTTGAGGTGTTCTTGTCGTGAGACGGAGGGTAGGCTTCTGGTAGCCCTTCACTGCAGGGGCTTGGACGGTGCACAGGCTCTGCTGATGTGTGCTAAATCCATGTGTGCATGGACTCTGATCTAACACAATTTTCTTTTTAAAGACAGCATCTCACTATGTAGTTCAGGCTGGTCTTGAACTCACTAGGTGGCCCAGGCTGGCCTCAAACTTGCAGTGATCCTCCTACCTCAGCCTCCCAAGAGCTGGATCACAGGCGTGTGCTACCACATCTGACTCTAGCATGATTTTTGTTTGTTTGTTTGTTTGGTACTAGGGATCGAACTCATGACCTCATGCTTGTCAAACAGGTGCTTCTGCCACTGAGCTATGTCCCTGGCCCCTGTAGCATGATTTTTGAACCTGGAGATGAAGTCTGTCCCATGGCAAAAGAAGGCAGTTAACAAATGTCATTATTTACCAAATGATATAGGGGAATGAGACTCCTGACCGTGAGTTCATGTTCTCTAAAACCGAAGAATGAATTTTAGGAACACGGAGGTGAAGAGTAGAATATATTTATTGAGAGAAAAAAAGTTGCTGTTTGAAGAGAGACAGAAGGAGTCCTGAGTGAGTTACCAAGGACTGTCTTTTCCAGGGACTTTTATAGAGTGAAACCATGGATTTAAACGGGGAAAACTGGGAACTCACAAGGCAGATGGGCATAAGGTGGGACGTAACTACAGCTAGCCAATAAGATCAATAGTTCAGGTAAAATTGATTACATTAGGAACAAATGGTGGGGAAGCGAGTCAGGTAGCAAGAGAACATTCTTAGAGCGCAGTGAGGCCTCCCTAGGGACTGGATGGTGACTTCTGGCTTCTCAAGGTGATCCAGACTTAATCCCTATGGTTGCATTTGTTTTGAGATCTGGCCCACAGCGAGAAGTGTTGTCCCCCCCCAAGGTCATCAGACATCTGGTCCTCTGTGCCGGCTTCCTCGAGGGCCCAGCCCTGTCTGACTGCCTAGAATATTTCTAACTGGCTCAGTTGCCTGTAACACAAAGACCTAAGTCAGGGCAGAGTGGCAAGGGAGACCGCTAACTTGGACATGAGATTCCCTAACCTGCTCAAGTGCTGGAGAGGTGCCTGGTGGCCCAATAGGTATTGAAGACAGGAGGTGGGGGGAAGGGCGATGGGACGTCCTGGCTCCGGGACCCTGGAGTTCATGAGGTGGCTCAGTTGTGGTCTGGTGACCTGGGTCTTGGGCTGTGCTAGGACTGCTCCCCTGCTCCCCACCACCCAGCTCCCATCTCCGGCCCAGGCAGCCCCTTCCTGCTATGATGCTATTTGTGGGGTGTTGG